TCCCTCCCTCCATCCCCCCACCCCTCCCGGCCGTTCCCCTCTCCCGGACGCACTGGTGAGCAGCCCCCAGCCGCTGAGCACGCAGGGGTACCCGTTGGGCAGCACGGAGCCGGCGGGCGGCAGCCGCCCCACCTGCACCTCGGCCGAGAGCACGGCCGGCCGCTGCAGCTTCATCAGGGCGATGTCATTGCTGCGCGCAGGGACACGGGTCACAGGGGCGGCCGGGGCGGCGCGGCGCCCCCAGCCCCCCGGGGACCCCGCTCACCCGCAGGCCGCGCAGAAGCTGAGCCACTTGGGGTGCACGAAGATGTCGTCGGAGTTCACGGGGATGGTCTGCTCGGGGCCCTCCCCGGTGCTCCTGTCGTACTCGCCCAGCACCACCTGGTACGTGCGGGATTTGCTGCCAGGAAAAGCGGGGTCAGAGCTTGCGGCCCCCCCTCGGCATCCCTCCTGCACCCGGGACACTTGCACGCACCCAAACGCTCTGCCCTGCACCCTAAATCCCCGCCCTGTACCACTCCATGCACCAAATCTGCACCCAAACTCACCTCTCTGCACCCTGAACCCCATCTCCTCTGCACCCTGAACCCCTTCCTGCACCAAACCCCCGCCCTGCACCCTGAACCCCCGCCCTGCACCTCCCCGTGCACCCACCCTGTGCCCCAATTCACCTCCCTGCCCTGTGAGCCCCTTCCTTGCACCCACTTTGCACTTCTCGCCCCATCCATGCACTCCTGCATGTGACAACCCCTCCCCGCACCGGGAATGCCCTCCCTGCTCTCAGAACCCCGTCTTGCACTCAGGACCCCTCCCTGCACCCCACTGCACCCCTGCTGCTGCACCCCACTGCACCCAGGACCCCGCTGTACCCCCATTAACCCTCTCCATGCACCCATCCCTGCACTGCAGCACCCTTGTGCCCCACATCCCCTCCTGCACCCATCTCTGCACCCCACAGCCCCTCCTGCACCCATCTCTGCACCCACATCCACTCCTGCAGTCCTTCTGCACTCCCTTCACCCCAAATTCCCACTACACTCACCTCTCCACCTGCACCCTTCCCTGCACCCCTCCTGCACTGACCCCTGCACCCCTCCCTGCCCTCTGGTGCCTTTCTGCACCCTTCCTGCACCATCGCTGCACCCCACACCCACCCCCGTATCCAACACCCACTTCTGCACCCCAACACCCACCTCTGCACCCCGCGTCTCTTCCATGCAGCCCTCTACACTCCTCCCTGCCTGCCAGCCCCCATCCCACAGCCCCCATTCCCTATCCCATCCCGCAGCCCTATCCCACAGCCCCCATCCCGCAGCGCCGTCCCGCAGCCCCATCACCACAGCCCCCGTTCCCTATCCCATCCCGCAGCTCCATCCCGCAGCCCCCATTCCCTATCTCATCCCGCAGCCCCATTTCCCATCCCATCCCTGCAGCCCCATTCCCCATCCCATCCCTGCAGCCCCATTCCCCATCCCATCCCTGCAGCCCCATTCCCTCTCCCGTCCCGCAGCCCCGTCCCGCAGCCCCGGTGCCTCACGAGATGCAGTGCGCGGCCGTCATCACCCAGTTGGCCGCGATCAAGGTGCCCCCGCAGGTGTGGCGGAAGGTGCCGTCCCGCTCGTACTGCAGCGAGATCTGCGGGGAGACGCCGCTGGCTGCCACCGTCCCCCCGCACGGGTGCCGCTGTCCCCGTGTCCCCGTGTCCCCGTGTCCCCGTGTCCCCGTGTCCCCGTGTCCCCGTGTCCCCGTGTCCCCGTGTCCCCGTGTCCCCGTGTCCCCGTGTCCCCGTGTCCCCGTGTCCCCGTGTCCCCGTGTCCCCGTGTCCCCGTGTCCCCGTGTCCCCGTGTCCCCGTGTCCCCGTGTCCCCGTGTCCCCGTGTCCCCGTGTCCCCGTGTCCCCGTGTCCCCGTGTCCCCGTGTCGCCGTGTCCCCTCACCTGCCAGGGCCAGCTGTAGGGCTCCGCATCCTGCCCATTGACCACCCTGGCGTCGGGCAGCACCGCGGCGCGAACCCCTGCACGACACGGCACCGTCACCCACCGGGCACCCGCCCGAGCCGGGGGACACGGGGGGGCTCAGGGGACACCTCACCGCCGGCCACCAGCAGCAGGACAAGGCTCAGCATGGCAGCCATGGCTCGAGTGTGGCTGTCCCGGGCACCCGCCGGCCTTAAATCGCCGCCGGAGCCCCCAAGGGCACGGCTGGGAACGGGCACCCGGTGCCCAGCTGGGTCTTGGCGGGGGTTAAACATTAACCTTGGCCTTGGGGGGACGTGTCACTGGCACCCGGCCACTGGGGACCCTACGGATCCCAAACCCCCTGTCCCTGCTGCTGCTACTGCCCCGCACCCCCTGCGTACCCCCAGAGTGCCCCATGTGCACCCCAGGCCCTCTGGTCCCCCAGTGCCCCACACAGTCCCTCTAACTGCCCCCGTGCCCCCCCTAGCCCCCATGACCCCCCCACAGTCCCCAAATCTCTCTGTGTGCCCCACAGTCACCTCCGTGCCTCCAGAGTGCCCCACGACCCCCCTGTACCCTCAGCCACCACAACCACCCCGTGCCCCCTGGTGCCCACACTCCCTGTGCCCCCGGTGGCCCCTCGGGCCCCTCTGCCCTCACACACCCCTCGCCACCCCTGGGCCCTGGAGCCCCCAAACCCCTACAACCCCCCCTGTTCCCTGTGCCTTTGTGTGCCCACATGGCCCCTACAGCCCTCATGGACTCAGTGCCCCCCACACCCTCCCCTCCCGGACCCCAGAGCCCCTACAGCCACCCCAGGTGCCCTCCATGGTCCCCATGGCCCTGGTGTCCCCATATGGCCCCTACAGCCCCCACATGGCCCCACAGATCCCTCCTCTCAGACCCCCTGTGCCCCAGAGCCCCCCGATCACCTCTACTGCCCCCACAGCCCCCCAGCCAGCCTTGTGTCCCCCCATGTTCCCATACAGCCCCTCTGGCCCCATAGGCACCCCCTCCCAGAGCCCCTGGTCCCTGTGCCCTTGCCCCCCCATATCACTTCATGTCCCTGGTGCCCCCCACAGACCCTATAAACCTCAGTGCCCCTATAGCCCCCCACCCCTGGTACCCCCATTGCTCCCAAACTTCCTCACATGCCCGGGGGGCTGTGGGGTCCCCACGCCCCCCAGAAGCCTCCTGGAAGTTCCCACAGGAGCTCTCCATGCCCCTCCAGTGTCCCCACGCACCCCCATGACGCTGCAGAGGTTCCCAGGGGTGACCCCTGTGTCCCCATTAAAGTTCCCAGAGGTGACCCCTGTGTCCCCATTAAAGTTCCCAGGGGTGTCCCAAGGTGTCCCCACGCCCTCCCACGTCCATGTAAAAGTTCCCAGGGGTGACCTCCATGTTGTCCCATGTCCCCATAACAGTCCCTGAAGGTGCTCCCCGGTGTCCCCACGCACCCCGTGTCACCCTGCAGCTGTCCAGCGTCCCCACGCACCCCCATGACCCTGTAGAGGTTCCCAGAGGTGACCCCTGTGTCCCCATTAAAGTTCCCAGGGGTGTCCCAAGGTGTCCCCACGCCCTCCCACGTCCATGTAAAAGTTCCCAGGGGTGACCCCCATTTTGTCCCATGTCCCCACAACAGTCCCTGAAGGTGCTCCACGGTGTCCCCACGCACCCCGTGTCACCCTGCAGCTGTCCAGAGGTGGCCCCCGTGTCCCCATAAATGTTCCTACGGGTGCTCCATGATGTCCTGCACCCCATGTCCCTGTAAAAGCCCCATGGGGTGTCCCCACGCACCCCTTGTCCCCATGAAAGTTCCCGGAGGTGCATCCCCGTTCTCCCCCCGCACTTGTGTTCCCACAGAGTTCCCGGGAGTGTCCCACGGTGTCGCCACTCAGCCCCGTGTCCCTGTGCGTGTCCCTGTGCAGATTCCCACAGCCGCCCCATGGTGTCCCCATGCACCTCCGGGTCCCAGGAGAAGTTCCCAGGAGCGTCCCACGGTGTCCCCATGTCCCCACGTGTCCCCGTATAGGTTTCCAGAGGTGCCCACCCGTGTCCCCCCATGTCCCCACACACCCTCATGCCCTCCTGGAAGTCCCCAGGGATGTCCCCAAAACACCCGTGCCCCAGTTTAAGTTCTCAGAGTTGTCCCCTGTGTCCCTGCAAAAGTTCCCAGGGCTGTCCCCCATACCCCGTACCCCGGTGCAAGATCCCAGGGGTGTCCCAAGGTGTCCCGGCACCCCCGGGTGTCTCCCTGTGTCCCCCTGCTGTCCCTGCGAGAGTTCCCAGGGGTGTCCCCTGCGTCCCAGTGCAAGAGCCCAGAGCTGTCCCACGGTGTCCCTGCACCCCTCGGTGTTCCCCGTGTCCCCTCGTGTCCCTGTAGAAGTTCCCAGGGGTGTCCCACGTGTGTCCGTGTCCCAATGCCAGTTTCCAGGGGTGTCCCCGTGTCACCGTGCCAGTTCCCGGGCGTGTCCTCGTGTCCCTTGTCGTGCCAGTTCCTACGTGGGGTGTCCCACGGTGTCCCTGCGCCCCCGTCTGTGCCCCCGTGCCCTCCCCCGCCGTGTCCCAATTCCCGGGGGGGTCCCCGTGTCCCTGCACAAGTTCCCGGGGTGTCTCTGTGTCCCAGTGCCAATTCCCGGGGGTGTCCCTGTGTCCCTGCACAAGTTCCCGGGGTGTCCCAGTGTCCCAGTGCCCGTTCCCGGCGCTGTCCCCGTGTCCCTGCACAAGTTCCCAGGGGTGTCCCCGTGTCCCAGTGCCAGTTCCCGGGGGTGTCCCCGTGTCCCAGTGCCAGTCCCCAGGGTGTCCCGGTGTCCCTGCACAAGTTCCCGGGGGTGTCCCCGTGTCCCCATGCCCGTTCCCGGGGCTGTCCCCGTGTCCCAGTGCCAGTCCCCAGGGTGTCCCGGTGTCCCTGCACAAGTTCCAGGGGTGTCCCCATGTCCCCGTGTCCGTTCCCGGGGGTGTCCCCATGTCCCAGTGCCAGCTCCCGGGGCTGTTCCGGTGTCCCCGCGCCCGTTCCCGGCGCTGTCCCCCGGAGATCTCGGCGCGGCCGCGGCGGCGATGGGGCGGCGGGGCCCGGCGGCGCTGGGGACCCTCGTGCTGCTGGGGACCCTCCTGGGGGTGAGTGGGGCCCGAGGCGCGGGGGGCGGGGGGTCCCCTCGCCGAGCTGGGAGGTCCCGGAAAGGAGTTGGGGGCCCCGGAGTTGGGGTCCCGCCAAGGAGTTGGGGACTTCTAAAGGATTTGGGGTACCTGAAGGGAGCCGGGGTCTCTACCCGCGGACTTGGGGTCTCTTCAAGGAGCTGAGGTCCCGTGCAGGAGTTGGAGTCTCCCCCCACGGAGCTGGAATCCCCAAAGAAAGGAGTCGGGGTCCCGGGAGCTGGAATTCCTTGTGGGGTTGGGGTCCCCTACAGGAATCGGGGTCCCGGGAGCGGGAATCCCATAGAGCCCCCTGTGGTTTTGGGGTCCCGTGAAGTACTTGGGGCCCTTAAAGGAGTTGGGGTCCCCACACGGTTTTGGGATCCCCTAAAGGATTTGGGTACTACGGAGCTGGGGTCCCCTGAAGGAGTTGGGGTCCCCTAGAGGAGTTAGAACCCCCTCCCCGGAGTTGGGGATCCTTGTAGGAGTTGGGGTCCCCCACGGAGTTTGTGTCTCTTGAAGGACTTGAGGATCCTTGTTATCACGGAATTGGGGTCCCCCTGGACACCAAGGAGATGTGGGGGTCCCTGTTCCTCAAGGGATTGGGGTGTCCCCCCTGTACCAGGGGATTCCCGGCACCCTGCCCCCCTCCCTAAGGGACTGGGGGTCCCCCCCTGCACCCGAGTCACGTGGAGACCCCAGGGCCCACCCTGTCCCATCTGGGAATTGCAGCGGCCCCCCAAAGGAGAGGTGGGGTCCCCCTCCCCGTGCCCTGCCCTGTCTGGGAATGGGGAGTGTGGGGTCCCCTCCCTGCCCTCTACGGGGCTCGAGGTCCCCCCGCAGCTGGGGGTACTTGGGGTCACCCATCCCTATACCCCTGTGGAACTGGGGTCCCCATGACCCCCCTGTGAGGGCCCCGACCGGGGGGTTCCCATCACCCCACGCTGTTCCTTCAGGGAGTTGGGGTCCCCCGTGACCCAGAGTGGGGATGGTTCCCATCACCCCATAAATCCATCCACGGTGGTCCAGCCCCCCCTCGCCCCCACACCCTGCCCTGGGTGGAGGTCACTTATAGAGGCACTTACATCCTGGTTTTGGGGTGCCCCCCCCGCCCGCACCCCCACCCCATGCCCGGGGTGGAGAACAGAGGGGGCCTTGTGCTCGGGGCCGTGCTGGCAGCGCGGCCCCCCCGCTCTCCGTGGGGCTCCCACCCACGCCCGGGGGGGCTGGCGGGGACAAAGGGGGGGATCCCCGCTTTAGGATCCCCCACCCCCCATTCTGCTGAGGCACAGGGGGGGGTTGGGGACCCAGCAGCCCAATCACCCCCCTGGCCGGGATGCTGGGCCCTACATCCCCCTCCAAACACGTGTGGGGGGGTCCCACGCGGCCCACGGAGGGGTCTGGCGTGGGGTGGGGGGCATGGGGGTGGCACCTCCGAGGGCTGCGAAGGGTTAATCCGGTGGGGGGGAAGGGGAGGGCGAAGCAGGAATGCGCGATAAGATCACCCTGCCCGGGGGGAAGGGCTGGGGAAGGGGGGGACACCCCACGCACAGCTCCTGCACACGCGTGTGCCCCGGGCACGCACGGAGGGGGGCACGGCCCCTTCGGGGGGCCCCGCGCTGCCGGGGAGGCTCCTGTCACACCTGGGGGCATTTGGGGACACCTGGGGGCATTTGGGGCTACCTGGGGGCATTTGGGGCCGCCCGGGAGGGCTCGGGGGCACGCGGGGACCCTCCGGGCCCGCAGCGCACATGGCCTCTTGCCTTCGGCTCTTTCCCATCGCCAAAGATGGCCCGGCTGGGATGAGGAGGAGGAGGAGGAAGGCGGGGAGGAAGGTCAGCTCAGACGCTGGGTCCGTGCCAGGACTCCTGGGTTTCCCCCTCGCCATGAAAACCTGACACTCCCCCAAAAAGTCTTGCTATCCCACAAAAGAACCTACTCCCCCCAAAAAATTTCCCCCGAAAATCTGTCTATCCCCCCAAAAAACCCCATCTCCACCCCCATATCCATCTCCCCCCTAAATCTGTTTCCCCCCCAAAAAAATCATATATCCCTTCCGCCAAAAATCCATTTCCCCCCCAAAACCCATCAAACCCCCCAACTCATCTCCACTCTCCAAAACCCCTGTCCCTGCCCAAAACCCCCCCACCCACCTCCCCCCAGAAAATCACCCCCCAAAACCAGAGTGTGCCCTGCAAAACCCATTTACCCCAAACCCGCCGGCTCGGCCCCCCCAGCCCGAGTCCTTTCGGGATAAATTAGGCAATGCCAGCAGGGAGGAATGCAGGGGGGAGGGCGGAGGGCAGGCACATATTTGGGGCCCCCCTGCCTGCCCGGCTGTGGCTTTGACCCCGCAGCTGTTTCACCCCCAAATCCCGGGGGCGGCTGGGGGGGAGGGGGAGCGCAGCTGCCTCGGCCCCCCCCGGGACCAGCATCCCACCAGCTGTGCTGGCAGCCCCCCCAAATCCTGGGGTGACCCCCACCCCCCCAGCTGGGGGTGGCTCAGTCCTTGGGGACCCCCGGGAGGGGGGAGAAGGGTTTTTTTCACGGGGGAAGCACCTTTTAGCATGACCTTGGGGGAACAATAAGCCGGGGGGGACTGCTATTAATAACCCCCCCCCGGTTATTATTCTTGTGCTGCGTCACCTCCTCTTCCTCACCCGGATGAATTAACGGGGGGGGGCACATCCAGATTTGGGGGCCACTTCGAGATTTGAGGAGCCACATGCAGATTTTAGTGAGGGAACATCCAAACCGGCGGGGGCGGGCACTCAAACCGGCGGGGGCACCCAAATGAGGGGGGCGCGAGGTTCCCCCAGTTTGGGGAGCAGTTTGGAAGCGGGAGATGGACAGGGTGGCGCTTCCTCGACCTCCTCTTCCTCGCCTCCCTCCCCCCAACTTTTCCCCAGAGTGCGGGGCAGGATTTGGGCCGGGGAGTGGAAAATGTGAGCGGCGGCGGGGCCGTGGCGTCCGGCCGGGCGCGGTGCCCCGGCGGCAGCGGGGGGGACCCGGCTGTCCGGGGGGGCCCGGGCGTCCGGGGGTGCGGGGCCGCGGCGCGGAGAGGCTTCCGGTAACCGGAGAGGGGGATTGTCCGCGACCCTGCGCGGACACCGCCGGACACCCGACACGCAGCTGCCCTTCCTGCGGCCGGGCCGGGGCTGCCCCGCCGGGGCCGGGCACCCACGGGCTCGGTGCACGAGTGGGGGGCGATTGCAGGGCACGCAGGGGGTTGGGGAGCAGGGGCTGGCACCCACGGGCTCGGTGCACGCGTGGGGGACACGGTGGCAGAGCCCCCGCACGCGTGGGGACAATGGCAGAGCCCCCTCGCTCGGGGTACACGCGTGGGGACGTGGGGCCGAGCACCCACACGCTCATCGCACAGCTGGGGAGCAGCGCAGCCACGCCAAGAACACACGGCCTCGTGCCTCAGTTTCCCCGTGCACGAGGGCTGGGCTGGCACCCACGAGGGGCCTCCCCGCCCAGACCCCTTGGGGTGTTGGGTCCTCCCATCCCGGTGGCCGCGTGCCCCCCCCGTGTCCCCCCCTTGTCCCCCCCGTGTCCCGTCCCCCCCAGCGCCCGCCTAATCCCCCGGCGCTTGTTTGCACAGCAAAGTGCTGCTGCGACGGATTCCTGCCGGGGCCGGGGCGGGGGCACCCGGGCGCCGCACACGCGTGTGCCCGGCCCCGCGGGCACCGGGGCACGCCCGGCTGGGGCACACGCGTGTGCCAGGGCGCGGGTGTGGCGGTGCCAGCGTTCGTGCACGGTCGCCTGTGGGTGACTGCCGACGTGTGTGCGCTCACACGCGTGCCGCTGCAAACACGCGTGCACGGCCGGCCCTGGACGTGCCTCGGTGTTGGTGCGCGCAGGGAGCGCGCAAACGCGCGCGCACGGCCACGTATCAGCGTGCACGCGCCTGTGCTGGTGCACGGCCGGGTGTCAGCGTGCACGCGCGCCCCCGTGTCACTGAGCGCGCCCGTCCCCGTGTCAGCGCACACGCGGAGCAGTGCAAACGTGTGTGTGCTCACACTTGCCGTGTCGCTGCACACGCGTGTGCACACCTGGCACACGCCCCAGTGCCTGCACACGCACGTCCCGGTGCCGGCGGTCCCGGTGCCGGTGATCCCGGGCTGGCTGTCCCGGTCCCGGTGCCGGTGCCGGTGCCGGTGCCGTCTGGGCAGGAATGCCGCTGGTGTGTGATGAGCTCATCCCGCTGCCTTTTCCCGGTGACGCCACCGCACAGCCACGCACCCCCACCACCGTCCCCCCCGGGTGACGTGTCCCGCGGTGTCCCCGTCCCGTGGTGGCCCCGTCCCACGGTGGCCCCGTCCCGTGGTGGCCCCGTCCCGCGGTGGCCCCGTCCCGCGGTGTCCCCGTCCCGCGGTGTCCCCGTCCCACGGTGGCCCCGTCCCACGGTGGCCCCGTCCCGCAGGTCACCGGCGGCGCCCGCGGCTGGGCCGACGCCTTCCCCGAGGACACGGTGGCCGATCACGTCGGGGACACGCAGGGACGGCGCTACTACCGGCACCTGTCAGATGACGAGGACCTGGTGGCCTCTGGAGGTGAGGGGACGGCGGGGGCACCAGGGTGGGTGGGTCCTGATGCCACCCTGGGTGCCACGTGCACAGTCCCCGCCGCGGATGGCACTGGGACCTGGGGTAAGGTGACACCGGGTGGGTCGGTGCCACCAGGAGTGGGAGTCACTTTGGCTGAATGTCACCGTGGGTGGGTGTGACACGAATGGGTGGCACCAGGTGGGGGGTGTTACCGTCAGCTGGTGCCACCACAGGTGCCACTCGCTCAGCTGTCCCCATTGCAGATGGGAAATGGACCCGATGGCATCCAGCACTAAGGTGGCACTGGACATGTGGGTGCCACCCTGGATGCTGCTTGCACTGCCCTCATTGTGGTTGATGCCCCTTGGTGGCACTGGGTGGGTGGATGTCACTGTGAGTGAGTGCCACTCGTGCTGCCCCCATCACAGGTGCCACCAGGATTTGGTGGCAGATGGTGGCAGGGTGGCACCGAGGGGGTGAGCATCACCGTGGGTGAATGCCACCATGCGTGGCTGTCACCATGGGTAGATACCACCCTGAGCGCTCCCATGTTGTCCCCAGGGCAGATGGCACTAGGACCTGGTGTCATCTGGCAGTAAAATGCCACCAGGTGGTGTGTGCCACCATGGGAGCGTGTCACACGTGTGGATGCCCCCCCGGTGCCACCACATGGTCCCCATCGTGGGTGGCACCGGCATCTGGTGGCACTGGGTGCCAGAATAGGTGGGTGGGTGTCCCTGTGGGTGGGTGCCCACACCTGGGGACCCGCGGGCGGGTGCCACCCTCACGCTGTGCCCCGCAGATGGCAGCGGGGAGGATGGCAGCGCTGTTCCCTGGCCACCGGCAGTCACGGCCCCGCCTCTCAGCAGCGGGCTGGCACCCACCGGTAAGGGGACACTGGATGGCACCTGGCCCCGGGCTGGTCCCTGCTGGCACCGCTCTCAACCTCTGTCTCCTCTTCATCCTCCTCCTCCTCTTCCTCTTCCTCCTCCTCCTCCCTGGGGGCAGCGCCCGGGCCCCGCCCCGCGCCCGCGGGCATGGTGGTGGCCGAGCCCGAGGACGACCCCCCGATCAGTAAGTGACACTTTTTGGGGCCCCCCCTTTGCTGCACCCCCACTTTCCTTCCTCCTGTGCTTTTTGGGGTGGGCTCCCAATCACTGGGGGGGGACGGACACAGCTGGGGAGCAGAAGGAACATCTGGATGGGGGGGTCACAGCTGGGTGGAAGTCACAGGGGGGGATTTTTTGGGTGTGCAGGTGCCACCCCCCCAGTTTTGGCACCCCATCCCCCAACTTTGGCACCCCCCACCCCCAGTTTATTTCCGGGCTCTGGTGAACTTCACCCGCAGCATCGACTACAGCCCGCGGCTGGAGGACCCTGACTCCGAGGAGTTTCGGGACATTTCCGAGGCCGTGGTGGACACGGTGAGGACTGGGGGCACTCGGGGGGTGCTGGGCTGGGGGGGCACCCAAGGGACCACCCTGAGCCCTCATTTCCTGCCCCCCAACAGCTGGAGTCAGAGTACTACAAAGTGCCTGGGGAGCAGGTGGTCAGCGTGGTCTTCATCAAGTGAGTGGGGGGGCTTGGGGAGCTTTGGGGGGCTTAGGGGGTTTGGGAGGGCCAGGAAAACAGGGGGGTCTGGGAGAGCAAGGCATCCTCTGGGGAGATTTTGGGGTGCAATGGGGAAGTTTTGGGGTACAGTGAGGAGCTTTTGGTAGTGCAGGGAGGTTTTGGGGATGATGGAAATGTCTGGAGGAGATGGAGCAGATTGGAGGTGAAGGGGATGTTTTGGGATACAATGGGAACCTTTTGGGGTGCAATTAAGAGATTTTGGGGTGCAATGAGGGGCTTTTGGGGTGCAATGAGGGGCTTTTGGGAAGACAGAGGTTTTGTGGGTGTTGGAGTGGATTGGCGCTGATGGGAATTTTTTGGGGTGCAAAGAGGGGCTTTTAGGTTGCAGTGAGGACATTTCAGGGTGCAGTGAAGAGCTCTGGGGAGTGCAGGGAGGTTTTGGGGTGACGGAGTCATTTGGAGGCGACGGGGTGGATTGGAGGCGATGCGGAATTCATGGGGTGCAATGTGGGCAGTTTGTGGGCTCAGGGCCGATTTGGGGGCGCAGTGTGGCTCTTTTGGGACGCTGACCCCTCGTCCCCCAGGCAGCTGGACGGGGATGTGTTCGTGGAGCTGGACGTGGGCTCGGAGGGCAACGCGGACGAGGCGCAGCTCGGGGCGGTGCTGCGGGACCTGCTGGCCAGCGGCTCCATCGCCTCCTACCACACCTCCCCCCAGGGCTTCCAGTTCCGCCGCCTGGGAGCCGGTGAGCCCGGGAGGGGCTCTGGGGGGAGCCTGGGCGGGTTTTGGGGTGCTCTGAAGCGGCTTGGGGCCGGAGGCCTCAGAGCACCGCATCCCAACCCACTGTGGTTTCTCTGCTGGCTCTCGTGTCCGGCCGAATTGGGGTGGGGGGATGTTTTGGGGTGACCCCCTGAGCGTGTGCCCTCTCCCTGTCCCCAGTGACCCCCCAGCCACGCGCTTGCACGGCGGGGGAGTTCTCCTGTGGGAGCGGGGAGTGTGTGGCCTTGGAATATCGCTGCGACCGCCGGCCCGACTGCCACGACGCCTCCGACGAGGAGGGATGTGGTGAGGCAGCGAGGCACCCCAAAACCTCCTCTGTCCCCAGCAGCCCCCTGCCCCCATGGCCTGACACTCCTCCTCTGCACCCCCTCTCCTCTCCGTAACCCTCCTATAGTCTCCTCCTGCACCCCCCTTCCCCCTTTAACCCCCTGCCCCTAATTTAACCCCACACCCCCACAAACATTCCCTGCAACCCTTTTTTCTTGTATACCCCCTTATACCCTGCTGCACCCTCATTTCCCCCCAATCCGTGAACACTTCCCACACCCCTTTTGCCCGGTATACCCCTCAATACCACTCTGCACCCCCACTTCTCACTTCAATCCCCCTGCACCCCAATTTTATCCCGTAAACACTCCTCACACCCATTTTATCCCCATATAACCCCATTTTATCCCCATATAACCCTGTTTTGCCCCTACAACCCCCCATAAGCCCCCCTTGCACCCCTCCCCTCCAGCCCCACCCAGTTCCTCCCTTTTCACCCCTTAATTCTCCTTAATTCCCCCCTTAACCCCCCTTTCTCTGCCCCCAGAGCCCTCCCCACGGCCGTCCCCCAGCACCGCCCGCCCGGCCACCACTCGCCCGCTGAGCACCGTCCCCGTGGGCACCACCCCAGCGTCCCCGCTGCGCCCCTTCACCCCGCGGCCCCCAAAACCAGCGGCCAGGGGGTGCCAGGGGGGCGAGGCCGCCTGCAGGGACGGGCGCTGCGTGCCCCGGGACTACCTGTGCGACGGGGAGCGCGACTGCGCCGACGGCTCCGACGAGGACGCCTGCGGTGGGTCCTGGGGTCACCAGGGATCTGGGGGGCTCCCCCTGCGCTTCAGCAGAGCCTGGGACGCTGTCTGCCATGGCGAACTCCTGGCACGGCAGGCAGACCATGGCTCGGGCAGGTTCACTCTGAGTGCCAGGGGATGGTGCAGTGGGTGTCGGGTCACCAGACGTGTCCCCCAGGGATCCGTGGTGGGCCCAGGCATGGGCAATAGCTTTACTGATGGTCTGGGTGCACGTGTGGAGCTGCTGGAGGGTTGAGGGCTCTGCAGAGGGACCTGGACAGGCTGGATCCAAGGGATGGATCCATTGATGTGAGGTTTAACAAGTCCAAGTGCCAGGTTCTGCATTTTGGCCACAACAACCCCTGCAGCACTGCAGGCTGGGGACAGAGTGGCTGGAGAGCAGCCAGGCAGAAAGGGACCTGCAGGGACTGAGGGACAGCAGGCTGGACACGAGCCAGCAGTGTGCCCAGGTGGCCAAGAAGGCCAGTGGCTCCTGGCCTGGATCAGGAATGGTGTGGCCAGCAGGAGCAGGGCAGGGACTCTTCCCCTGTGCTCAGCACTGGTTGGGCAGCACGTCGAGTGCTGTGTCCAGCTCTGGGCCCCCCATTTAGGAAGGACATGGAGGGGCTGGAGCGTGTCCAGAGAAGGGCAACAAGGCTGGTGAGCGGTCTGGAACACAAGTCCTGTGACGAGCAGCTGAGGGAGCTGGGGAGCTCCTAACCCTCCTGACCCTGGAGAAAAGGAGGCTCAGGGGGGACCTTATATCTCTACAACTCCCTGAAAGGAAGGGGCAGCCCAGTGGGGGCTGAGCTCAACTCCCAGAGAGCCAGGAACAGGATGAGGACACAGCCCTGAGGTGTGCAGGAGGGGTTAGGGTTGGACATTAGGAACAAGCTGCACACAGAAAGGGTGGTTGGGCACTGGAAGGGGCTGCCCAGGGAGGTGGTGGGGTCACTGTCCCTGGGCCTGGATGTGGCACTCAGTGCCAAGGTCTGGGTGACAAGGTGGTGGTGGGTCACCAGTGATCCCAAAGGTCTTTCCCAAGCTGATTCTGGGTGCTGACCTGCCCCGTGCCCCCAGGCACCCCGTCCCCCTGCGAGCCCAACGAGTTCAAGTGTGACAACGGGCACTGCGCCCTCAAGCTGTGGCGCTGCGACGGCGAGAACGACTGCGGCGACGGCTCCGATGAGAGCGACTGCCGTGAGTACGGGGGCTCGGGGCCGCCCGCGGGCACACGGGGACGCGGCTGACGCCGTGCCGTGACCCCTGCAGCCACCAAGGCGCCCGGCGCGGCGTGCGGGCCGGCGGAATTCCGGTGCGTGTCCAGCGGGAGCTGCATCCGAGCCAGCTACCAGTGCGACAGGGAGCCCGACTGCCCCGACCGCAGCGACGAGGTCGGATGTGGTGAGTGACAGCTCGGGGACAGCTCGGCAGGCAGGGCACACGGGGACCCGGGCTGGGCTGGGCATGCTGTGCCAGGGGGGCTGTGGCAGCAGGACAGGGACGCTGTGCCCAAGCTGTCCTCGGGGTACGGGGCTGTGTCTGAGCTGTGCCAGGGGCCCTCTGCTGTGACACCAGGCTGGGGACACTGCCCGGGGGGTCTTGTGCCAGTGCAGAGGGCTGGGGACATTGTGCCATGGTACCAGGCTGCTGACACTGTGCCTGGGGACATTGTGCCATGGCACTGGGCTGGGGACTCTGTGCCTGAGCCAATGCCACAGGACCATACTGGGGACACTGGCACTGTGGCACGGCGCTGGCCACCATGCTACGGACCCTGTCCCCAAGCTGGACTGGAGACAGTGCCAAAGAACCTGTCCCCAGGTGGGTCTCCCCATCTTCCAGCAGTGCCACACAGAGCAGATGGTATCAGTGGTGGTGACAATGACAGGGTGGCAGTGGCAGTGTCCCAGTTCCCTGGGGTGCCAGCAGGGCAGGTGGTGCCAATGGTAGTGGCAGTGCAGAATGATGGGGGTGACAGTGACAGTGTCCTTGACACCTGGGGTGGGTGGTGACTGCGCCAGTGGCGGCGACAATGACGGAGTGGCAGTGGCAGTGTCCCTGTGCCCCGGGGTGCTGTGCCGTGTGGGTGGTGCCGGTGGCGGTGACAATGACGGGGTGGCGGTGGCGGTGACAATGATGGAGTGGCGGTGGCAGTGTCCTTGTGCCCCCGGGGTGCTGTGCGGTGTGGGTGGTGCCGGTGGCGGTGACAGTGACGGGGTGGCGGTGGCGGTGACAATGACGGGGTGGCGGTGGCGGTGACAGTGACGGGGTGCCGGTGGCAGTGCCCCCACAGGTGGTGACGCTGCCGCGGGAGTCGGTGAGGGCGGTGCCAGGCCAGACCGTCACCTTCACCTGCGTAGCCACCGGTGTCCCCACCCCCATTGTCACCTGGCGCCTGAACTGGGGACACACCCCCAGCAGCCACAGGTGGGCGGGGCCGAGGGCGGGGCCTAAGGGATGCTGGTTGCGGATTGGAGGAAGGGGCGCAGCTGGCTATGGGAGGAACTTCTGATTGGGTGTGGTCTGTGATGGGAGGAGCTTCTGCTTGGGGTGGGGTCTGTGTGGGCGGGGTTTGTTTGGGGCGGAGGTGCTGGGGCGAGCCTCGGGGCGGGGCTTCTGTGCAGGGTGTGGTCTGAATGGGCGGGGTTTGGCAAACAGGCGTGACCAGCAGGCACGTGTGACTGTGGTGGGCGGGGCTTATACAATGGGAGGGGCTTGAGGTTGAGGTGGGGCCGGGGTGTGAGCGGTCATGCAGAGGGAATGGGCTGGGCACTGGGTGCCAGCTGTGTGGGGCACTGGGTGTACGGGGCACCGGGTGTGCAGGGCACTGGGTGTGCAGGGCACTGGGTGCCAGGTGTGTGGGGCACTGGGTGTGCAGGGCACTGGGTGTACTGGGTGTGCAGGGCACTGGGTGTGCAGGGCACTGGGTGTATTGGGTGTACTGCGTGTGCAGAGCCCCAGGTGTGCCAGGTGCTGCATGTGCTGGGTACGGGGTGTGCGTGGCTCCCCGGTGTGCCGGGGTCTGCTTGTGCCAGGCTCTGGGTAGCAAACGTGCCCCACAGGGTCTCGATCGTGAGCGAGGCTGGGCAGGGCACCCTGACAATCCGGGACGTGAAGGAAGCTGACCAAGGCGCCTACACCTGCGAGGCCATCAACACCCTGGGCATGGTGTTTGGCATCCCTGACAGCATCCTCACCGTCACCCGCCCTGGTGAGCAGCCCCTCTCCTCTCTGTGCCACCAATCCCACCGTGGCACTGTCACCATCACCCACTGTCTCGTATCCCACAGGGCCATGTCCCGAGGGCCACTTCCAGGTGACGGGGACATCCCGCTGCCTGCCCTGCTTCTGCTTCGGCGTCACCACCTCCTGCCGCGCCACCTCCCGGCACCGCCACCGCCTCCAGCTGCGCTTCAACCGCCCCGACGACTTCAAGGGTGAGCTGTGGGGACAGGGGATGGGGCAGGGATGGGGCAGGGGACAGGGGCCGGGGCAGGGGACGCAGCAGGGGCTGAGCGTGTTCCTTGCAGGTGTCAATGTGACGGTGCCGGCAGCGCCATCCGCACCGGTGCTCTCAGCCACTCAACTCCACGTGGACGTGGGCGCCGAGGAATTCCAGCTCCTGGACCTGTCCCGCCGCTTCCTGGCGCTCGACGCCTTCTGGGCACTGCCAGAGCCCTTCCTTGGGGACAAGGTGATGCCGGGGCGGGGTCAGGGCTGGGCACTGCAGTGGCATGGCCGCTGACAGCCCGCTGTGCTGCCAGGCGGACGCCTACGGGGGAGCGCTGAGCTACGGCGTGCGGTACCGGCTGGGCCGGGGGCCCCCCGAGCCCACCGCCCACCCCGACGTGCTGCTGCGGGGCCACGGGCGCCAGCTGCGGGCGCGTGCCGGTGACACCCAGCCAGACGTCCTCAACCGGCGGCACGTGCCCCTCACCGAGGTGGGTGTGGGAAGGGAGGGTGGTGGTGGGGAGGTGATGCGGGTGGTGATGGATGAGTGATGGTGGGGATGGGTGGGTGGTGCTGGAGATGGGTGGGTGATGATGGTTGTGGTGGTGGATGAGTGATGCTGGGGATGGATGAGTGATGCTGGGGATGGATGGGTGATGTTTGGGATAGGTGGGTGATGCTGGAGATGGGTGGGTGATGATGGAGGTGGATGGGTGATGTTTGGGATGGGTGGGTGATGCTGGGGATGGATGGGTGATTATGGTGGTGGTGGTAGATGAGTGATGGTGGGGATGGGTGGGTGATGCTGAGGGTGGGTGGGTGATGATGATGGTGGTGGTGGATGAGTGATAGTGGTGGTGGTGGGTGATGCAGGTTGGGAGTGGGTGACACTGGTTATACTGGTGGATGGGAGATACTGATGGCGGGTGGGTGATACTGGTGGTGGGTGGGTGATGCTGGTAGCAATGATGGTGATGGTGGGCACTGGTGCCGGTGGTGGCCGGTGGGTGATGCCAGCATTACCATCACCCTGCTGTGACACTGCTGTCACCATCCTGGCAGGACCACTGGGAGGACGAGCAGGGTGCCCCGGTGAGCCGGGAGCTGCTGCTGCTGGTGCTGCAGGGGCTGGAGGGCATCTTCATCCGCGCGGTGTACGACGGGCGCATGGCCAGCGTGGGGCTCAGCAACGTGGCCATGGACATCACCAGCACTGCAGACACCGGCCTGGGCCCGGCTGCCGACGTCGAGGAGTGCAGGTGAGCGCTGGCAGCAAGCTCACGGGCTCAGTGCCACTGCTGCTGTGATGCCACTGTCACACCGCTCTGTCCCCAGGTGCCCCGTGGGCTACACGGGGCTGTCGTGCCAGCGCTGTGCCCCCCGTTTTGAGCGGGTGACGAGGGGACCCTACCTGGGGACTTGCTCTGGCTGTGGCTGCCACGGCCACTCCAGCACTTGTGACCCCGTTTTTGGGCACTGCTTGGTAAGGAGTGAGGGGTTGATGAGGTGACAAGGGGACAGGGACACTGCACAGGATCACCACTCCCCTGTGACTTGTGTCCCCCTCCCAGAACTGCCAGCACAACATGGAGGGTCCCCAGTGTGAGAAGTGCAAACCCGGCTTCTTCGGCGATGCCACCAAGGGCACAGCCACCGCTTGTCACCCTTGTCCCTGTCCCTACACGGAGCCATCTCGCAGGTGGGTGCCGACCCCAGGGACCTGCCCCCGATGTCACCGCCCTGGCGTCACCGTCATTGTCACCCGCAGGTTCTCGGAGTCCTGCTTTTTGGACACAGATGGCCAGGCCACCTGCGACGCCTGTGCCCCTGGCTACGCCGGCCGCCGCTGCGAGAGGTGGGTGGGGGGCCCCTCCCCATAACCCCCCCATGTGACACCCCCACCCCTCAACCCCTATCGCCCACCTGTCCCCCACCCATCCACAGGTGTGCCCCAGGCTATGAAGGAGACCCCATCCAGCCGGGTGGCAAGTGCACCCCGATTGGTGAGTGGAGGGTGCTGGTTGGGGGTCCCTGCACCCTTGGGTGCCCCCCACCCTCACCCTCAGTCTCTGCAGGCCAGGAGCTCGTCAAGTGTGATGCCCGCGGGGGCCAGGACGAGGCGGGTGGCACTTGTCGCTGCAAGGTGAGGGCAGGGGGCTTGGGGGGACAGTGGGGCAATACTGGTGGGTACAGCAGGGGGGCAGTGGGGGTCTGGGTGTTGCCATCCCCCACTGCACCAGCCTGGTCCCAGGTACCCGGTCCCTGCCCCAGCACTCCTCTTACCTCTGCCCCATGGCACCCAGTCCAGATCCCCTGAGGCAACCAGTCCCACCCTCACACAGTACCAAGTCCCACCCCCATAGCACCCAGTCCAATCCCTGGGGTGCCAGCCAATCCACCCAGCACCAATCCCACCCCCTGCCCCATGGCACCCAGCCCAACCTCCCAGCAGGACCCTCTCCAATCGCCCATAACACCCAGGGGGTGCCCAGTCCAACCACCCCAGCACCAATGACAACCCCCCCGTGGCACCCAGTCCCTCCCCAGTGTGACCCAGTCCATCCCCCATAACACTCAGTCTGACCCCCATGGCACCCAGCTGCTCCCTGGGGTACCCAGTCTCTCCATCCCACCCCTTTCCCTGCTCACCCCTGCCCGCCCTGTGCCCCCAGCCCAACGTCCGTGGCCGGCTCTGCGACTCCTGCGCCGCGGGCACCTTCCACCTGAGCGCTGCCAACCCCGCGGGCTGCCTGCCCTGCTTCTGCATGGGGCTGTCCCGCTCCTGCGCCAGCTCCGCCTGGCACCGCCACCAGGTACCCGCGGCACGGGACAGGCGGGACACCCCGGGCCATGGCGTGCCATGCCTTGGCATTGTCTTGATGTGCCGTGCCATTCCATGCCATGCCTTGGCATTGTCTTGATGTGCTATGCCATGCCATGCCTTCCTATGCCATTCCATGCCATGTCTTTTCATTGTCTTGATGTGCCATGCCATGCCAAGTCTCGTCATTGTCTTGATGTGACATTCCATGGCATGCCATGTCTTGTCATTGTCTTCATGTGCTATGCCATGCCATGCCATCCTCTGCCATTCCATGCCATGTCCTGCCATTGTCTTGATGTGCCATGCCATTCCATGCCAGGTCTTGTCATTGTCTTGGTATGCCATGCCATGCCATAGTAGTGCCATGCCATGCCATGCCATGCCATGATGGCCCATACTATGTCATGCCATGCCATGTTGTGCCATGTCTTGCTGTGTCGTGCAGCGATGTGCCATCATACGTTGTGTCGTGCCGTGTGGTGCCATGCCATGCCATGCCATGTACTGTCACAATACATGTCACCATGCCATGGCACGGTCTGTGGTGTTACACTGTGCCATGCCATGTGGTGCCAGGCCATACCACAATGCCATGTCACCCATGCTGTGTGGTACATGTCATACAACATACATGTCGTGCCTTGTCGTGTCATATAGGGCCATGCTGTGCCAAGTGATGCCACGTAGCTCTGTGTAATGTCATGTAGTGTCCTGCAGTGCCATGTAGTGCCATGCCATGCCAGGCCCAGCAGAATCCCTCTCCCAGGTGCTGCTGAGCTCTGAGGACTCGGCGCCGCTGCCCCTGGCCAACCTGTCGGGCTCGCGGCTGCCGGGGGCCGTGCCACACTTCGCGTCCCCGCGGGAGCTGCGCTTCGACGCCTTCCGGGAGCTGCCCCGGGGAGTGCTCTACTGGGTGCTGTGTAGCACCACGTTGTGCCAGGCTGTACCATAATGTCATGTCACCCATGCTGTGTGGTACATGTCATACAACATACATGTCGTGCCTTGTCGTGTCATATAGGGCCATGCTGTGCCAAGTGATGCCACGTAGCTCTGTGTAATGTCATGTAGTGTCCTGCAGTGCCATGTAGTGCCATGCCATGCCAGGCCCAGCAGAATCCCTCTCCCAGGTGCTGCTGAGCTCTGAGGACTCGGCGCCGCTGCCCCTGGCCAACCTGTCGGGCTCGCGGCTGCCGGGGGCCGTGCCACACTTCGCGTCCCCGCGGGAGCTGCGCTTCGACGCCTTCCGGGAGCTGCCCCGGGGAGTGCTCTACTGGGTGCTGCCTGCGCCCTTCACCGGGGACAAGGTGACACCGCCGCCCCGGGGACACCTCCGTGTCCCCGCCGCCCGCTTCGGGGAGCGGGTGGCCCCGAGCCATGCTGAATGTCCCCGCAGGTGACGGCGTACGGCGGGGAGCTGCGGTACACGGTGACACACCGGGCCCCGGCTGGCGCTCCCCTGCCCCCCCGGCACCCTGACGTCCTGCTCCAGGGCAATGGGATCCTCCTGGAGCACTTCTCCAGCGTCACCCCCCCCGCCGGTGTGCCCACCACTGTCACTGTGCCCATCCGTGAGGTGAGAGGGGTCCCTGTGTGACACCCAGCGAGAGGGGTCGTGGAGGGGTCAGACTGGGGGGCTGATCTGGGGGCCCCAGGGTCAGGCTGGCTGCCATGGGGAGGTCACCCCGGATGCCCCAGGGGCTAGGCTGGGTGCAGTGGGGGATGGCACCCCCATGTCACCCTGGTGTGGCACAGGGCGCCTGGCGCCGCGCAGACGGGCACGATGCCACCCGCGAGCACCTCCTGATGGCCCTGGCCGACGTGGACCTGCTCATGATCCGGGCGTCCTACTCGGAGCAGCCAGAGGAGAGCGGGTGAGCCCCTGGTGGAGCCAGGAGGGGACACAGCAGGGTGGCAGGGCAGTGCTGACCCCCCTCTGGCCCCGCAGCCTGGCCGATGTCACCCTGGACGTGGCAGTGCCACACGCCACCGGCCGCCCGCCCGCGCTGGAGGTGGAGGATTGTGCCTGCCCCCCCGGGTACCGCGGGGCCTCGTGCCAGGTGAGACCCTCGGGTCCCCTCACTGCCACTGTGGGGATGCTGAGCCGTGTCCCACCCCACTGCCACTGTCCCCTCTAGGACTGTGACACCGGCTACACCCGCAGCAGCGCCGGGCTCTACCTGGGCACCTGCGAGCCGTGCCAGTGCCACGGCCATGCCAGCGAGTGCCACCCTGACACCGGAGTCTGCCAGGTCAGCTGGGGACACCCAGGGGACTTCCCGGGGGCTCCCACGGCAGGGACAGCGATGCCATCACCCCCTTTGTTTACAGGGCTGCCGGGACCACACCGAGGGTCCCCAGTGTGACAAGTGCCAACCTGGCTACTACGGCGATGCCACCCGGGGCACCCCGGGCGACTGCCAGCCCTGTCCTTGCCACGGACCCCATGGGGACACCCAGTAGGTGCCATTCCCTGGTCAGACCCATCCCTGAGGACAATGACTGGGTGTCACCTGTGCCTTTGTCCCCTCCGCAGGGTGACAAAGATCTGCTTCGAGGACACGGACAGGCAGCCCACGTGCAGTGCCTGTGCCCCAGGGCACAGCGGGCGCCTCTGCGAGAGGTGACAGGGACGCTGGGATGGGGCAGGGGGTGGTTTTGGGGTGAACACTCCCCTCACTGCCTCGTTTGGATTTGTCCCTCTGTAGGTGCTTGCCCGGGTATGTGGGGGACCCGCTGCGGGGAGAGCCATGCCGAGGTGAGTGTCACAGGGCAGGGACAAAGTGGTGGCCCCTGCGGTGGCACCGAGGGGGGTTGTGGCTGACTGTGTCCCCCCTCAGTGCCTGGTGTCCCCGGCGCACAATGCCAGTGTGACCCACGAGGCAGCACCGGCGAGGGCTGCGATGCCAACGGGCAGTGCCACTGCAAGGTGAGTCTTGTGTGTGTGTCCCCAACCCCAGGAAGGGTGACAGGGCAATGTCACCATGCTGTCTCCCCCCACCAGGCCAACGTGGAGGGTCCCCACTGTGCCACGTGCCGTCCCCACCACTTCCACCTGAGCGGGGATGAGCCAGCTGGGTGCCTGCCCTGCTTCTGCATGGGCATCGTTCAGCACTGCGCCAGCACTGCCTTCGCCCGTGGCACCGTGAGTGTTCCCTCTTGTCCCCACACGTCCCCAGGGTGTCCCCAGCTGTCCCAGACCCCTCTCACCCCTCGATCCCGCAGATCCGGACGTCCTTTGCCCCGGGAGATGCCCAGGGGTTCGCCCTGGTGAACCGCCAGCGCAGCACCCGCGTCAGCAGCGGCTTTGGGGTGCAGCCGGGGCACCCCCAGCCCCACCTGACCTACGAGCGCTTCGGGGAGCTGCCCCCTGACTCCTACTACTGGCAGCTGCCACCTCCCTACCAGGGGGACAAGGTAACGGGTGACCCCTGGGAGCCATGGGAATGCCCCACCAGGGGCTGCACCCCCTCCCCATGGGCACCCTGGGCACTGTCTGGGGGGGGCACAGCCTCCTTGCCTCTGCCCTTCTCCTTTTTCTTCTTCCTTTTCCCCTTTCCCTTCCCTTTTTCCTATTTTCACTTTGTCTTTTTCTCCTTTGCCCCTTCTCCATTCCCTTTTCCCCTTTTCTCATAATTTTTGCCTTTTTCATCCCTACTCTGTGCCATCCCCTGTCCCCATCATCATCCCCATTCTTTTCTTTCTCCTCTTTCCCCATCCCCTCCCCTCCCCTCCCCTCNNNTCCCCTCCCCTCCCCTCCCCATCCTCTTCCCTTCCTCATCCCTATCTTCTTTCTTTCCCCTTTCCCTTTTCCCCTTCCACTTTCCCCTCTCGCTTTTCCTTCTCCTCTTCCTCATCCCTATTTTCCCTATTTCATCTCATCACCTTCCCCATGCCCATCACTGTCCCCATCATGCCCATCCTCTTCCATTTGTCCTTCCCATCCCATCCCATCCCATCCCATCCCCTCCCATCCCACTGATCCCATCCCATCCCACTGATCCCATCCCATCCCACTGATCCCATCCCATCCCACTGATCCCATCCCATCCCACTGATCCCATCCCATCCCACTGATCCCATCCCATCCCACTGATCCCATCCCATCCCACTGATCCCATCCCATCCCACTGATCCCATCCCATCCCACTGATCCCATCCCATCCCACTGATCCCATCCCATCCCACTGATCCCATCCCATCCCACTGATCCCATCCCATCCCACTGATCCCATCCCATCCCACTGATCCCATCCCATCCCACTGATCCCATCCCATCCCACTGATCCCATCCCATCCCACTGATCCCATCCCATCCCATCGATCCCATGATCCCATGATCCCATCCCGGTGCAGGTGGGCTCCTACGGCGGTCGGCTGCGCTACACCCTGACCTACACCCCGGGGGGACAGGGAGCCCCCCTGCCCGACGCCGACGTCCAGATCACAGTAAGGGGGCGTGGCTGGGGTGGGACAGGGACACAGCGGGTGACACCAGGACCCCCTGACCTCCTTGTCCCCCTTGTCCCAGGGCAATGACATCACGCTGGTGGCCTACCAGCCTGACCTGACCCCACGGACCCCCCAGGCCTTCGAGATCGTTTTCCGGGAGGTAGGAGGTGTTGGGCAGCCTCTGTCCCTGATGTCCCCCTGTCCCACAGCGTGTGCCCCGCTAACCCCCCGTTCCCGCAGCAATACTGGCAGCGGCCAGACGGGCAGCCAGCAACACGGGAGCACCTGCTGATGGCGCTGGCCGACCTGGATGAGATCCTCATCCGAGCCACCTACTCCACCAGCACGGCCGCCGCCGCCATCGCCGACGTGGCCATGGACACGGCCGTGCCCCCCCAGCCCGGCTTGCCCCCAGCCCCCGAGGTGGAGGAGTGTCGCTGTCCCCCCGGATACCACGGGCTGTCCTGCCAGGTGAGCCCAGCCCCTCCCCGTGTCACCCCAACACCCCCATCACCTCCCTGCCCTCCTCCCCAGTATCTCCTCATCACCCCCCAGCATCTCACCACCAGTCCAGGGTGATCCTCCATCACCACCATCACTCTTTTCATCATTGTCCCCATCATCAACCCCAGCATCCCCCACTCATGGCCAATATCACCCTCCATCCCCCCATCACGCCCCCAGCATTGCATCATCCCTCCAGCATCCCCCATCATCATCCCCCCATCACCCCCTATCATCATCTCTCCACCCTCTCATCCCCTATCAACCTATCATCACCCTGCCACCCTCACCCCTGTGTCCCCTCCATTCTCCCTGCAGTATCACCCCCTCATCACCTTCCATCACCCCCAGCACTTCCCCCATCATCCCTCCATCACTGTACCATCGTCATCACCAGCAGTCCCATCGTTGCCCATCAGGCCCCAGCATCCCCCAGTACCCCCAGCACCCCCCTATCACTCCCCCATCAGCCCCATAACACGCCCATTGTGACCCCCCATGACCCCACATGAACCTCCCCATCTTCCCCAGCATCACCCCTAAATACTCCCACCCAGCATCACCCCCAGCATCCTCAATCAAACCCCCAAGCCCACCCATCATCATCCATCTGTCCCCGACCCCCCATCACCTCAGTATCACCCCCATCACCCCTCAATCCTCCCTTCAGTATCACCCCCATCACCCCCCAGTCCTCCTTCAGTATCACCCCCATCACCCCCATCACCCCTCAAATCTCCCTTCAGTATCACCCCCATCACCCCTCAATTCTCCCTTCAGTAGGGAGGATTGATCCCACCACTCTCCATCATCCCATCAGCATCCCCCATCATTGCCATCACTCCCCCATCCTCCCCCCAGCATTGCTCCCATCACCCCCATCACTCTTCGCCACCCCCCAGCACCCACACCACCACCCACCTGTCCCCCAAGCCCCCTCCTCACCCCTGCCCGGCGCCTTGCCCAGGCTGAGGGGGTGCCAGCGCTGTCCCTCCCCGCAGGACTGTGCCCCCGGGTACACGCGCACCGGCGGGGGGCTGTACCTGGGGCACTGCGAGCTGTGCGAGTGCAACGGCCACTCCGAGAGCTGCCACCCCGAGAGCGGCGCCTGCTCCGTAAGGCCTCACCTTCCGAATCTTCTGGGGGAGCCGTGCTGTTAGCCCAGCCCTGACACCCCCAATCTGTGCCCCCACTATCCCCCAGGGATGCCTGCACAACACGGCAGGGGACTTCTGTGACCAGTGTGCCCCCGGCTTCTACGGGGACGCCACCGCCGGGACCCCCGAGGACTGCCAGCCCTGCGCCTGTCCCCTCCCGTACCCCGAGAACCAGTGGGTGCCTGTGCTGGGCGGGGGGTGCTGGGCTGGCTGCCAGGGAAGGCACGTGCCCTCACCTTGCTCTGTCCCCCAGGTTTTCCAGGACCTGTGAGAGCCTGGGAGGCGGCGGGTACCGCTGCACCGCCTGCGAGCCGGGCTACAGCGGGCAGTACTGCGAGCGGTGAGGCTGCTGGCACCCCGAAACCTGCCCCAAAAACCCACCCCATGGGCTCACCCCAAACCCTGTCCCAATATACCCCTTGCCAGAAACAACCCCAATATACCCCTCCAAAAACCCCCTCCATGGCCTCACCCCCAAACCCCATCCCAATATACCCCTCGCCAGAAACAACCCCAATATACTCCTCCAAAAACCCCCTCCATGGCCTCACCCCCATATATGCACTCTGCTATACCTGCCCTGATGGGTTCATCCCCATTTACCCACCCCAAAACCCCACCCTGACTGAGTCACCCTTATATACCTATCCCCAAAAGCCACCTGCATTGTCTCACCTTCACGTACCCTGATGGGCTCACTCGCATTTATCCACCCACATTACCCACCCCAATGTACTCCTCCTGTGCCCACCCAATGTGCTCACCCCAATGCATGCATCCTGAAGAGTATCTGTGTACTCACCCCGACATCTGCACCCCAATATGCTCACCCCAACTGATGCACCCAGATATACCCACCCCAATGGCCTTCCCCTTTCACACCCACCCCAAAGTGCTTCCCAATATACCCACCCTAATACACTCACCCCAATATAGCCACCCCAATGTTCCCCTGCTTCACCCTCCCAAGGTACTCACCCTTATGAGCTCACCCCAGATTTTGCATCCTGAAGGGCTCAGCCTGACGTAAGCACCCCAATGCACAGTGCACCTACCCCGATGGCCTCGCCCCAGTGGAGAAACCCCAAAGTGCCCACCCTTATACCCGCCTTGACACAGTCACCACCCCGCTATACTCATCCTGATGTACTCACCATGGTGTGCTCACCCCACTATACCCACCCTGTGTACCCCAGAATGCTCATCCCCATACACACCCCACAGCACCCACCCCGATACACCTCCTGCCATTTGCACCCCACTGGGCTCCCCCAAACCCGGTGCCCCCGTTGTTCCCCGCAGCTGCGCCCCCGGTTACACGGGTGACCCCACGGTGCGGGGGCAGGGCTGTGTCCCCGCGGGGCCACCCCCGGCGCTGGCCGTGCGTGTGCACCCCCAGCGCACGGCGGTGTCGCAGGGCAGCGCTGTCACCCTGCGCTGCCACGCCACCGGGGACCCGCCGCTCTACTACCACTGGGTGCGAGAGGACGGGCGGCCCCTGCCCGAGGGCGCCCAGAGCCGCCGCCAAGGTACTGGGTGGCTCCGGGGGGGACATCGGGGTGTGCCCAGGGTGTGGGGTGTCACCTGCCTGTCCCCCCAGGTGAGGAGCTGCACTTCCCCAGCATCCAGCCCTCTGAAGCCGGCGTCTACGTCTGCTCCTGCCGCAACCTCCGGCACAGCAATGCCAGCCGCGCCGAGATCATTGTCACCGGTAGGTCCTTGTCACCGAGAGGGGGGACATGCACGGAGGGGAGGCAGGAGTGGGAGCGAGCCTCACCTCTCTGTGCGGGCACAGAGACCCCCGACAAGCCCATCACCGTCACCGTGGAGGAGAAGAGGGTGCAGCGGGTGCAGCCCGGCGCCGATGTCACCTTCGTCTGCACCGCCAAGAGCAAGGTGAGGGGAAGCGGGCACGGCATGGCAGGGGTGCTGCAGGGTGTGTGCAGGGACATTCAGGGTGTGGAGATGCCCCTGGGTGCCCAGCTGGTCCTACAGAGCAAAGGGACACCCGAGGATGTGCTCATGGGGACACCCGGAGCACAGGAACCCCCCAAGCCCCCTTGGGTCCTTACGTAGCTCAGTGGGACATCCCTGGGTGCCACCTCTCCCCCATGGGTGCACAGCTGGGCATGTCTCCCACCATATGCCCATCATCCCAGCGGCCTCCCCACCTGTGTCCCCCCAGTCTCCTGCCTACACGCTGGTGTGGACACGGCAGAACCACGGGACGCTGCCGGCAGGCGCCATGGACTTCAACGGGATCCTGACGCTGCGCAACGTGCGGCCCCAGGACGCCGGGGTCTACGTCTGCACCGGCTCCAACATGCTGGACATGGACCAGGGCACGGCCACGCTCTACGTCCAGGGTGAGCCCCCACACTGGCTCACCCCGTGGTGATGGGCAGCACCAGGGTGATGGGCACATCGACTGCCCAGACAGCAGGGTGATGGGCACACGCAGTGCCAAGGCAAGGTGTGGTGGTCACACTTGGCCCCCAGACGTTGGGTTTGATGGACACGCTTGCTGTTTGGAGGTTGATGCCCAGATGCCAGGGTGATGGACACAGTCAATGCCTGGATGCCAGGCTGATGGGTTTGCTTGGTTCTCAGTCTTTCAGGTGATGGGCACGCTCACCACCCTGGCTCTGTGGTGACAGTGCCCAGGTGCTGGGGTGATGGGGACATTGAATGCCCAGACAATGGAGTGGTGGGCACACTTGGTGCCACGACACTGGGGCAATGGGCAGTTTTGGTACCTATATGCCAAGGTGATGGGTAGGTTTGGTGCCTGTACACCAGGGTGGTGGGCAGGTTTGGTGCCTGGACTCCAAGGTGATGGGCACACTCCCCTGAGACCCACTCCCTCCTGCAGCTGCCTCAAAGACTCAGATGTTCTATGGACCCGTTGAGTTCATGGAGGGGCACAGACCGGGTAAGTCACCAGGGCAGGGCTCCTGGGGGTCCGCATGCTCCCCCCACCCGCTGCATGCAGGGGCTCCACGTGCACCCTGCTGCTGGCTGTGCCACGCCACCCCGCTTCCCACCGCCTGGGGACAGCACCGGGGGGCCTGGCGAGCCCTAAGCCCACCCCGGGTCTCACTGCAGCTGGCACCGCCAGCGCCCCCACCGCCACCGTGGAGCCGGCGCAGCTGAGCGTGGCACCGGGGCAGCCGGCCGAGTTCCGCTGCGTGGTCACCGGCAGCCCCCAGCCCACCCTTGAGTGGCTCGGTAGGTGCCCGCTGGGGACAGGGGGGAACACCGGGACCGGGTGGGGGGACACGGCGAGCAGGGGTGATGGCAGGCCGTGTCCCTGCAGGTGCGCTGCCGCCGCAGGCTGTGGTTCAGGGTGGCACGCTGCGTTTGGCCGCGGTCGAGCCCGCTGACGCCGGGCACTACGAGTGCCGGGCACGGAGCAGCGCCGGGCAGCACACGGCACGCGCCTTCCTCCATGTGCAAGGTGAGCAGCATCACCCTCGTCCCTTTCATCCCCGTTATCTTCATCATCAGTCACCCCATTTTCCCATCATCCCCATCATCTCTATCGTCCTCTCACCCCATTGTCCCCATCACCCCCATCCCCATCATTCCCATCATCCCCCTTACCCCAATCATTCCCATCACTGCTGCCATGTACATCACTCCTCTTGTTCCCATTGGCCCTGTCACCCCTCTTGCTCCCATCATCTGTGTCGTTCCCCATCATCCCCATTGTCCATCTCCATTGTCTCCATGGTGAGCATCATCCCTGTCATCTTCATCATCCCTGTAACCCTCATCATCCCTGTCATCTCCCATTGTCCATCCCCCTCATCCCCACCATCCCATCATCTCATCATCCCCTTTGTCCCCATCATCCCATCATGACCACCATTGTCTCTGTCACCTCCCGTTCACACCATTCATTGTCCCCACCATCCCTGTCACTCTCATTGTCCCCACTGTTCTCTTCTTCCCCCTCATCCCCCGTTGTCCCCTCATTTCCATCATCCCATCATCCCTCATCATTCCATTGATACCATCACCCTTATCATCATCATCTGCATCATCTCCATCCATCTCTGTCCACCCCATTGTTCCCATTGCTCCCATTTTTCCCGTTGCCCCCAACACCCCCATCACCCCCATAGTGTCTGTCATTCCCATAATTCCATTGTTCCCATCACCTTTATCGTGATTCCTCATCATCTCCATCATCTCCATCATCTCTGTCCACCCCACTGTTCCCATTGCTCCCATTGTTCCCATTGCCCCCAACACCCCCATCACCCCCATAGTCTCTGTCATCCCCATCATTCCATTGTTCCCATCACCCTTATCATCCTCATCATCTCCATCACTCTCGTTGTCCCCCGCCACCTCCACCATCCCCCGGTGCCCTTCACCCTCATCGTCTGCATCACTCATGTCCCCCCCGTTGTCCCCATCCCGCCATTGCCCCCAGCACCGCCCTGATCCCCCTCCCCGCAGGCGCAGGCACCCCACAGGTGCAGGTGAGCCCGGAGCGGACGGAGGTGCAGGAGGGCTCCACGGTGCGGCTCTACTGCCGGGTCTCGGGGACCCCCACTGCCACCATCACCTGGGAAAAGCAGGGGAGCGCTCTGCCGCCACAGGTGAGCGGGGTGCTGGCACCCGTGGGTGCTCCTGGGGGTGTGTGTGCACCACGGGTGCCACTGACACCCACCCTCATACCACAGTCCCGCGCTGAGCACGGTGACATCGCCACGCTCGTCATCCCGGCTGTGACGGCGGCTGATGGTGGCATCTACCTCTGCGTGGGCACCAGCGCTGCTGGCACGGCCCGCGCCGCTATCGAGGTGGCTGTGGTGCCAGGTGAGGAGGGTGGGGGACACCAATGGTGCTCGGGGATGGTTTTGGGGGCTACAACCCACCCCTCCACCCCTTTTTCTCCCTGCAGGAGTGGCGCCGCCGGTCCGCATCGAGTCCTCGTCCCCATCCGTCACCGAGGGACAGACCCTGGACCTGGACTGTGTGGTGGCAGGACCCAGCTCTGCCACCGTGACGTGGTACAAGCGTGGGGGCTCCCTGCCTGCTGGCCACCAGGTAGGGCACAGCAGGGTGGGCAGCACCCCAAACGCTGCCCTGTCCCCTGCTGTGTGACACCAAAGCATGTCCCCAACTGCAGGTTTCAGGGTCCCGGCTCCGTGTCCCCCACGTCACGGCTGCTGATTCAGGGGAGTACGTGTGCCGGGCAAGCCTGGGGACCGCTGTCCGGGAGGCATCTGTCATTGTCACCGTCGTGGCCGCATCAGGCTCATCCTATGGTGAGACTGGGCTCAGCAGCACTGGAGGGCACAGCTGGTTCCCAACAGACGGTCACAGCTCTGTCCTCCCTGCAGGACCACCAGCCTCAGGTGTCCCTGTCCGGATCGAGGCATCCTCGTCCACCGTGGCCGAGGGACAGACCCTGGACCTCAACTGCATCGTGGCCGGGCAGGGACAGGCCACTGTCACCTGGTACAAGCGCGGGGGAAACCTCCCAGCCAAGCACCAGGTAGGGGACGCAGAGGGTGACGATGCAAAGGGTGCCTGGGGTTGATGCACAGCCCCGTGCAGAGCGCTGGTGACCCTTGTGTCCCCTCCCCACAGGTGTCTGGCTCCCGGCTGCGGCTGCTGCAGGTGACAGCGGCCGACTCGGGCGAGTACGTGTGCCGGGTGACCAGTGGGGCCACCACCAAGGAGAGCGCAGTCATGGTGACCATCCAGCCCAGCAGTGCCAGCGCCTACTGTGAGTGGGGACAGGGGGTGGCAGTGCCAGCGGGAGGTCCTCGTGTGTCACATCACTGAGCCATGGCTCAGGTGACTGTACTGGCGAGGTCCTGCTGTGGTCACTGGTGTCACAGTCCTGTCTCTGTCCCCAGCCCCGGGCAACACGACTCCCCTGCGCATCGACTCCCCGTCCTCTGCCGTGGTCGAGGGACAGACCCTGGACCTCAACTGTGTCATCGCCAGCCCTGCGCAGGCCACTGTCACCTGGTACAAGCGCGGGGGATCCCTTCCAGCCAAGCACCAGGTAGGGAACATGGAGATGGGATGTCATCAAAGGGGTGGAAGTGGTTGACCAACAGCTCTGGGCAAGCCTAGGTGGCCCATCCAAATCCTGTTGGCCCATGCAAGGCCAGCTGGCCCTGGGCAAGCCTGGGTGACCTGTGCGAATGCAGATGGTCCCATGGAAGCCCAGGTGGCCCCTGTAAGGCCAAGTGACCCCATATAAGACCAGCAAGTCCTGGTGGTCCATGAAAAGTTAGGTGACCTATGGAAGCCCATGTAGCCCATGAAAGGTTAGGTGTCCCCATTCAAGCCCTGGTGGTCCCATTCAAGCCCACGTGGCCCCATGGAAGCCCAAGTGTCCCCAGTAACCCCCATGTCCCCTCCCTGCAGGTGTCTGGCTCCCGGCTGCGGCTGCTGCAGGTGACAGCGGCCGACTCGGGCGAGTACGTGTGCCGGGTGACCAGTGGGGCCACCACCAAGGAAACCTCCATCATGGTGACCATCCAGCCCAGCAGTGCCAGCGCCTACTGTGAGTGGGGACAGGGAACACGGGAGGTTACCCGTGGGGGTGTGGCACTGCTCCCAGTGTCCGTGGGAGGGTCACACACATGGTGGTGGTCGCAGTCTCTAACCCACCTTGGACTCCAGCCCCAGGCAGCACGACCCCACTGCGCATCGAGTCCTCGTCCCTGTCATCCCCCGTGACCGAGGGACAGACCCTGGACCTCAACTGTGTCATCGCCAGCCCCACACAGGCCACTGTCACCTGGTACAAGCGCGGGGGAGCCCTCCCAGCCAAGCACCAGGTAGGGGACACAGAGGGAGGATGTCACCAAGGGGGGAAGATAGGGATGACGTACAGCTCTGGGCAAGACCAAGTGGCCCATCCAAATCCTGGGGACCCCATTCAAGTCCTGATGACTCCATGCAAGGTAGGCTGGTCCTGGGCAAGCCCCATGACTATGGAAGCCTGAGTGACCCCATGGAAGACCAAGTGACCCCAAGGAAGCCCAAATGACCCCATATAAGCCCAGGTGGCTCATTCTAGCCCAGAGTGGCCCTGTGCAAGCTCCAGTGGCCTTGTGCAATCCCAGATGGCCCCTTGCCAGAGCTCACATGGCCACTGTGACCCCCGTGTCCCCTCCCCACAGGTGTCTGGCTCCCGGCTGCGGCTGCTGCAGGTGACAGCGGCCGACTCGGGCGAGTACGTGTGCCGGGTGACCAGTGGGGCCACCACCAAGGAGATCTCCATCGTGGTGACCATCCAGCCCAGCAGTGCCAGCACCTACCGTGAGTGGGGACAGGAGGAGGTGACTGAGGACTGGGGGACAGTGCCGCAGTTCTTGGGGTGACCTCCCTGTCTCTGTCTGCAGCCGTTGGTGTCACCCCTCCGGTGCGCATCGAGTCCTCGTCCTCCTCCGTGGCCGAGGGACAGACCCTGGACCTCAACTGCATCGTGGCCGGGCAGGGACAGGCCACTGTCACCTGGTACAAGCGCGGGGGAAGCCTCCCAGCCAAGCACCAGGTGGGGGAGCACTGAGGAGCATTTTGGGGTGGAAAAGGGATTTTCGGTGGTGTTGAGGGGTTTATGTGCCCATTCTCATGTGTGCCACCCCTCCAGGTGTCGGGCACCCGCCTGCGCATCCCCCAGGTGACAGCAGCCGATTCGGGGGAGTACGTGTGCCGGGTGACAGCAGGCAGTGTCACACATGAGACATCCCTCATTGTCACCATCCAGACTGGCGCTGGCTCCTCTTACGGTACTGGGATGGGTGAGGGGTGACATAGGGACGTGGTAAGGACAGAGTGGTGACCCTATGCACCCTACTGTCACCCCCAGCTGTTGGTGTCACGCCACCAGTGAGGATCGAGACCTCCTCAGCTGCTGTTACCGAGGGACAGACGCTGGACCTCAACTGCATGGTGGCAGGACAGGGCCATCCCCAAGTCACCTGGTACCGGCGCGGGGGGGCTCTGCCCCCAAACAGCCAGGTGGGACACGGGGGAGGTAGCTTTGCCCTGCAGGCCACAACCCTACATCTGATACTGGTGTGTCCCCAACTTGTCACGTCCCCAGGTGTCAGGAACCCGCCTGCGCCTTGCCCAAGTGGCAGTGGCTGATTCGGGGGAGTACGTGTGCCGGGTGACCCTGGGGACTGTCACCCAGGAGGCATCTGTCATTGTCACCGTGCCCAGCAGTGCCAACAGCTATTACAGTGAGTGTGAGAGAGGGCAGCGCCTGGGGACAGTCAGGTGTCACCTTGGTGATAAACATTCCCTTTCCCTGTTGTCCCCCAGCCTCTGGCATCTCCCAGCCCCTCCGCATCGAGTCCTTGTCCTCGGCCATCGCTGAGGGACAGACCCTGGACCTCAACTGCGTGGTGGCAGGGTCCGGCCCCACCACCGTGACGTGGTACAAGCGTGGTGGCTCCCTGCCTGTTGGCCACCAGGTAGGTGGCAGGGGAGGGTCACTCTGAATTTGTCCCATCCCCTGCTCTACGGTGCTGACTTGTCCCTTAACCATTCCCTGCAGGTGTCAGGCACTCGCCTGCGCATCCCCCAGGTGACTGCAGCCGACTCAGGGGAGTACGTGTGCCGGGTGACATCAGGTGGCATCACGCAGGAGACATCCCTCATCGTCACCATCGATGACGGAGACAGCCCCTCCCGCTGTGAGTGCCACCCTCCAGGGGACAGGGTCCCACGGGTGTCAGGGACCACTGGGGCCATTCACCCTCAACCCTGCCCATGCAGCCACTGGCATCACGCCGCCCATCCACATCGAGTCCTCGGCGTCCTCTGTCACCGAGGGACAGACTCTGGACCTGGACTGCGTGGTGGCCGGCCAGGGACAGGCCACCATCACCTGGTACAAGCGCGGTGGGGCCCTCCCAGCCAAGCACCAGGTAGGTGGGGACACCAGTGGGGTGGGGGATGGTGGCTGCTGTGCGTGGCTGGACGATGCCACCACCTTCTGCTATGATGTCCCCAGATTTCGGGGTCCCGGCTGCGGCTGTCCCAGCTCTCAGTGGCCGATTCAGGAGAGTACGTGTGCCGGGCTGACACGGGCAGCGTCTCCCGTGAGGCCATTGTGTCTGTCACTGTCACCTCCCGTGACAGCTCCAGCTACCGTGAGTGCGGCCACGGGGTGAGGGAGGATGCTGAGGGGAGATGGGTGATGCGAGTGACCTCGTGGCCTCTCTGTGCCTTTGTCCCCACAGGTTTGCAGAGCCCCATCATCTCCATCGACCCGCACAGCATGGCGGTGGCACCAGGTGAAGATGCCACCTTCAAGTGCCGTGTTCACGACGGCGCCCGGCCCGTCAACATCACCTGGCGTATGGGGCCTGGCCAACACCTCCAAGGTATGGCGGTCCCCAGGGTGGCCCTGGCATGGTCCCCAGGGTGGCCCTGGTGCTGATGGCTCCTCCTTGCCCAGACAATGTGAAGATCAGTGCCAATGGCTCAGTCATCTCCATCACCGGTGCCCACGTGGGCAACCAGGGCGCCTACCACTGCGTGGCCTCCAACCGCTTCGGCGTGGCCAGCAGCGTCGTCAACCTCGTGGTGCAAGGTATGAGGTGGCTAGGGTGGCCCTGTCCCTGTCTCCACGTGCTCCAGGTGTCCCCAGGGCACATGTGTCCCCATCCCCATGTCCTCCATGTGCTCCAGGTGCCCTCAGGGTGGTCTCCCTGTTACCATGCTGGTGTCCTCCATGTCATCCAGATACCACTGGAGTGATGGTGTCCCTATCCCCATCTCCTTTCCATGCTTCAGGTGCTCCTGGAGTGGTGGTGCCCATGTCCCCATGCTGGTGTCCTTCCAGGGGCCCCAGGAGTTGTGACATCCCCATCCCCATGCAAATCTCCTCCATGTGCTTTGGAAGCTCCTGAGATGTTGTGTCCCCATTCCCCTGCTTGTGCTCATTTCCTCCCATGCTCCCAGGGTGATCCCATCCCATTTCCTCCGGGTGCCCCTACAGCCAGGCACCTTCCAGCTGCCCTTCATGGTAGTGTCCCAATCCCCACCCCAATGCCCTCCTCCTTCTCCAGGTGCCCCCACGGTGTCAGTGATGCCACCAGGCCCCGTGGCAGTGAAGGAGGGCAAATCCCTGAGCCTGGAGTGCCTGGGCCGGGGCGAGCCGCGACCGCTGGTGCGTTGGAGCCGGCTGGGCTCCCGGCAGAAGGTGGAGCACCAAACACTGCTGCACATGGACAGCCAGGCCATCTTGCAGGTGAGGGGGCACCCAGGGGCACCATAGGGCACCCGGGAGTACCTGGTGCTCATCCTCACCCTGTCCCCCCCAGCTGTCACCGGCCAAGCCGGAGCACGCCGGGACCTACGTGTGCACGGCGCACAGTGCCCTGGGCTCGGCGCAGGCACGGGTGGATGTCAGTGTGGAGTCAGCACAGCAGCACCCCGGGGCCCCCGAGGTCACCGCCCCATCCACCGTCACCGTGGTGGCCGGGGACACCGCCACGCTGCACTGCACGGCCAGAGGTACGGGGAGCCTGGAGGACGGTGGTGGAGAAGGGAGGTTCTGAGCAGTACCTGACACCATGGTGATGGTGTGGTCGCAGGTGACCCGGTGCCTCGGATCGAGTGGTCGAAGCTGCGGGCGCCCCTGCCCTGGCAGCACCGCGTGGTGAACGGCAGCCTGGTCATCCCTCGTGCCGCGCAGCAGGACTCGGGCCAGTACATCTGCAATGCCAGCAGCCCCGTGGGTTCCACCGAAGTCTTCGTCACCCTCGATGTGGAGAGTAAGAAGGGGACAGCTGGGGGTTGGGGTGTCCTGGGCTCCTGCTGCCCCCTCTGCTGTGGCCATCACCCGTCCTTCCTCCACATGTGGCCACCTCCATCACCACCTCCACCCTTACATCCAGCCCTTCCTTGTGGGACCGTCCTGCTCCGTTGCAGCACTCATCCTCCTCCTCTCAAGCTCCACCACCAACCCTTCCTGTGGGTGTGTCCACCTGCTTGTCCTATCCCTGTGCATGTCCCTCTCCACTTCTGCTCTCTCATCCATCAATCTATCCATTCATCATGGCTCATCCATCCCAGCTCAACCCCATCTCTCTATCTCTGTTCAAATCTCTCCTTCCATCTTTTCCTCATAGATTCATCTATCTCATTCATGCCAGCACACACCCATCTCTCTATCTCCTAACTCTAACATCCCTTTCTTCCTTGTGGATTCACCCATCACTCATCCATCACAGCTCATGTCCATCTCTCCATCTCTGCTCACACCTCTCCATCTGTGTTTTCCTTGTGGATTCATCGATCCCAGCACACACCCATGTCCCCATCTCCTTACTCTTCCATCTATTCTGTCCTTGTGAATTCACCCATTCCTCATCCATCATAGCTCATGTCCATCTCTCCATCTCCTCTCACACCCTCCATCCGTCCTTTCCTGGTGGACTCATCCATTGCTCACCCACTCCAGCTGACATTCCTCTCTCTGTTTCCTCTCACACCCCTCCATGCATCTCATCCTTGTGCATCCACCCATCTCTTGTTGATCTTAGCACATCCCATCTCTCCATCTCCTCTCACACCCTTCCATCCATCCCTTCCTAGTGCATCATCCATCTCATCCATCCCAGCACATGCCAAACTCACCATCTGCTCTCAAACTCAGCCACTCATTCATCCATCCACCCACATACCTACCTCTTCCTTGTGGATTCATCCATCACTCAACCATCCCAGCCATCCACCCACCCACCCCCCCATCTGCCCATCCATCCATCCATGGATCCATCCATCCATCCATCCATCCATCCATCCATCCATCCATCCCTCCATCCATCCATCCATCCATCCATCCATCCATCCATCCATCCATCCATCCATCCATCCTCCATCCATTCCTTCTTTCCTGGTGGATTCATCCATCACTCCTGGCCGTCCCACCCATCCATGTCTCCATCTCCTCTCACTCCTCTATCCACCCCTTCCTCATGGATCCATCCAACTCTCATCCATCCCAACACACGCCCATCTCCATCACCCCCCTACACCCCTCACCACCACCCTCCTTGCCCCACTGACCCACTCCTGGCCCCCTCATGGCTGACGGCTCCCCCCATCCTGCAGCTCCTCCGTATGCCACCATCCTCCCGGAGGACACGGCGGTGCGGGCAGGTGACGCGGTGCAGGTGCAGTGCCTGGCCCACGGCACGCCCCCGCTGCACTACACCTGGGACAAGGTGAACGGCAGCCTCTCGGCGCGCGTGGCCCACCGCGCCGGCCTCCTCCGCCTCAGCCCCGCGGCCCCCGCCGACGCCGGCACCTACCGCTGCCTCGTCACCAACCGTGTCGGCACCGCCGAGGCCTTCGCCCGCGTGGCTGTTCACGGTGAGCCCCTCCCCGGCACGGGTACTGTTTGTGCCCCACGTTGGGTGCTGGCAGTGCTGCCGGGTGCCCTCGGAGCTCTGCATCCTGCCCGGGTGATGCCGGTGCTGACGGGTACCACTGGGGCTCCACATCCCCCTGCCTGCTGCCGTTGGGTACCACTGGGGGTCTGCGTCCCACCCTGGTGTTCCTGGGTACCACTGGAGCTCTGCATCCCTTCCAGGTGACGGTGGATCATCCTCCCCTGGTGAAGGTGGGGACGTCGCTGGTGGTCCCTTGGTGGTGCGAGTGACACCAGGGAGCCTCGTCAAGGGGGTGGGTGGCACTGCCGAATTCGCCTGCTCTGTCTCCGGGGACCCTCGTGCCCATGTGGAGTGGCTGAGGGAAGATGGGGAGCTGCCCCCCACCCACAGCGTGCGGGACGGAGTGCTGAGGTAAAGAACGGGGACAGGGAGGTGGGACCCCCATGCTGGTCCCCCGTGGGGTCCCTCACCCTGGCTGTGTCCCCGCAGGATGCCGGAGCTGGCGCCGGGGGCGCAGGGCGTGTACGTGTGCCGGGCCAGTGGCCCAGGCGGGCAGGCAGAGGACAGGGCCACCCTCACTGTGCAGGGTAGGAGCATCACCCCACCACCAGGGGACACATCCACCCCCTGATCTGCCCCCCACCACCAAGGGCACCCCAGGACCCCCATGTCCCCCCATGGAGGGGCACCTGAGCACCTTCCATTTCCCTACACACACATGCACCCCAATAGCCCCCAATGCCCATGATTTCGGTGACCTGAAATCTCTCCTCAGGCCTACAGACACCCCAATACCTCCCACCCGTCCCCATGCCTGTGGACACCCCGACACAATCAGTCTCTCTCCACACCCATGATCACCCCAGTGCCCCCTATCTCTTCCCACACCCATGACCACCCTGGTACTCCCCATGTCTCACCATGCTCACGAGGACTCCCAACACCTCCCATGACCTCTCCCCATTCCCACAGCCACCCCAATTATGCCACATCCCCTCAGGAGCCCCATTTCTCCCTGTCTCCCACTCCGCTGCCAGACTGCAATGCCTCCCTGTGCCAGGGGTTCACCCCAAATCCCCACTGTCCCCCAAGCTCTCCCCAGGGCCCTGATCAACATCCGGACCGCGGTGCAGACAGTGCTGGCAGGGACAACAGTGGAGCTGGAGTGCCTGGGCTTGGGGGAGCCCCGTCCCCACGTCACCTGGAGCAAAGTGGGGGGCCGCATCCGCCCCGGGGTGCTGGTCCGTGCCGGCACCCTCACCATCGAGCAGGTGGAGCGGGCGGACGCCGGGCAGTACCGCTGCACCGCCACCAACGCCGTGGGCACCGTCCAGTCCCACGTCATCCTCCATGTGCAAGGTGAGCACGGCACGCAGAGGTGGGGACGCACACCGTGTTGCTGCAGGTTGGTGACACCTCTGTGTGTCCCCAGCCGCTCCCCAAATCGCCGGGCAGCCGGAGGTGAAGGAGGTGTCCCTCGGATCAGCAGCTGTTTTGCCGTGCTTGGCATCTGGCTTCCCAGTGCCGGAGATCACCTGGAGCAAGGTGCCACGGGGGGGTGGATGGTGGGCATGGCAGGGGTTGTGGGGGCTGCTTGTGGGTGCTGACCCCCTCCTCTGTGCCACAGCTGGATGGGGAGCTGCCGGCGGGTGCCCGGGTGCAGGGGAACGTGCTGACACTGCCGGCAGTGCGCCCCGAGGACGCCGGCGTCTACACCTGCGTGGCTGCCAACCACCGCGGCCAGCAGACAGCCTACTACGTGCTGAAGGTCCAAGGTGAGGACAGACAGAGGGATGGGTGGATGTATGGATGATGGATGGATGGATGGATGTATGGATGATGGATGGATGGATGGATGGATGGATGGATGGATGGATGGATGCAGGGGTGGTATGCCCTGCTCCTCCTTACCCTCCCATCCCTGCAGAGCACGTGGTCCCCTATTTCGGGCAGTCGCCCCGCTCCTTCCTCCCCCTGCCCACCATCAAGGATGCCTACAAGAGGTTTGAGATCCTCATCACCTTCCGACCTGATGCTGCGGATGGTGAGCCCGTGTGCCCCTAGTGTCCTCTGTGTCCTCCTTCATGTCCCCTCCATCATTTCCCCCTCCCTTTTCTGCCTTCATCCTCCCCTCCTTTCATGCTCCACTTGCCCTCCTTTATCTCCCATTCTCTGTTCATCTGAGAGCCTCCAGTTTACGGGGGATTTGTCCTCAGTTCTGGGAGGATTTCTGGGTCCCCTAGGATGTGTCCCCCATCTCAGGATGGGGACTGTCCCATCTGATCCCCTGCCACCCCTCAGGGCTTCTCCTGTACAACGGGCAGCGGAAAAACAGCGGTGCCGACTTCATCTCCTTCGGGTTGGTGGGTGGACGCCCCGAGTTCAGGTGAGACCTATGAGCGGGTGTACGGGAGATGTGGGAGATGGGTGCCAGCACGCACCCACACTCCTTGTGCCTCCAAAACACCAGGTTTGATGCTGGTTCGGGCATGGCCACCATCCGTCACCCCACAGCGCTGCGGCTGGGCGAGTACCACACGGTGCGGCTGCTCCGCAACCTCACCTGGGGCTCGCTGGGCCTGGAAGGGCACCCTGCTGTGAATGGCACCTCCCAGGTACCGCTTTGGGGTGCGGCGTTGGGGGGGGGTCAGGGTGCTGGAGCTCGCGCCCACCCTGGTGTGCCTGCAGGGGAAGTTCCAAGGGCTGGATCTGAACGAGGAGCTGTACCTGGGCGGGTACCCCGACATCGGCGCTGTGGCAAAGACGGGGCTCAGCCAGGGTTTCATGGGTGAGTGAGGGGTTTTGGGGGGTACCGGGGTGAGGGGGTGCTGGGCATCATGTGGCAGTTCTGCCCATCTCCACCACCCTACAGGCTGCGTGCGCCAGCTCCGCATCCAAGGGGAAGAGGTGGCCTTTGGGGACATGGACCTGCAGGCACACGGTGTCACCAATTGTCCCACCTGCCAGGACCGGCCATGCCAGGTGAGGATGGAGGGGAGGAGGTGATGCCCACCCATCCCTGCCCACTGCTGACACCCCTGTCACCCCTCACCCAGAACGGCGGCGTGTGCCAGGACGACGAGAGTGGCACCTACGTCTGCCGATGTCCCCACGGCTTCACCGGCAGCAACTGCGAGTACTCACAGGCATTGCACTGTCACCCGGGTAGGTGACACCACTCCCTCCATGGGGACATCATCCCAGGGTCCCTTCAGGATGGGTGCTCATGGCTTCTCACCCCACAGAGGCGTGTGGGCCTGATGCCACCTGCGTCAACAGGCCGGACGGGCAGGGCTACAGCTGCCGCTGCCACCTGGGCAAGACTGGGGAGAGGTGCACCGAGGGTGAGCAGCACAGGGACACAGCTGGCACCGTCCTGGGGCATGGGGACAGGGTGGGCACCACTCCAGGGAGATGGAGACATGGCTGGGACCACCCTGGTGACATGGGGATGGGATGGGGCTGGGTACCACCTTGGGGACACTGGCAAGAGGTAGGGACCAGTTGGGAAAATGGGCACCATGGGGATGGAGGCTGGGGTCCCATCATGGGCTTGAACATTGGGCCCCACTGTGGGGTTGGAGGTTGGGGATAGAGTCTGGGGATGGATGATGGGGTCCCATAATGGGGGATGAAGGCTGGGGATGGATGGATGGATGGATGGATGGATGGATGGATGGATGGATGGAGGGATGGATGGATGATGGATGGGTGGATGGATGGATGGAGGGATGATGGATGGATGGATGGATGGATGGAGGGATGATGGATGGATGGATGGATGGATGGATGGATGGATGGATGGATCCATGGATCCATGGATGGATGGATGGATGGCGGAAGATGGAGCTGGATGTCCCACCCTGAGGATGGTGGGGTCCTACGCTGGGCACTGATGGGCTGTGCAGGTGAGGTGGTGAACGTGCCGTCGTTCGATGAGGAGGGAGCCTTCGTCTCGTACCCGCCGCTCACCAACGTGCACCATGAGCTGCGGCTGGAGGTCGAGTTCCTGCCGCTGGCGCCCGACGGGCTCCTGCTCTTCAGCGCCGGCAAAGCCGCCCCTGTCGAGGACTACGTGGCCTTGGCCATGATCGGTGGCCACCTCGAGTTCCGCTACGAGCTGGGCTCAGGTGGGTGGCACAGGGCGCTGTGGACAGGTGGCACCGGGGACTGTGGGAGTGAGGGGGTGACACAGCGTTACCAGAGTTCACTGGCATGAAGGAGGTCCCTGAGCCACAGTGGGGTCCCCTGGCACCACTGGGGTCCTTGGGTGTCATCCTGGTCCCCAAGCATCACCCAGGGCACATCTGAGGTCCGCGAGCATCCCTGGTTGTCCCCCAGTGCCCCCCCAACACCACCCCCTGTCCCCACAGGCCCAGCAGTGCTGCGGAGCGCAGAGCCGGTGGCCCTGGGCCAGTGGCACTGGGTGACAGCTGAACGGGTTAACAAGGACGGGACACTGGTGGTGGACGATGCCGCCCCGGTGAAACGCTCCTCACCCGGCAAGAGCCAGGGGCTCAACCTGCGCAGCCCCCTGTACCTGGGGGGCACCGAGCCCCCCCTGCGCCCCCCCACCAACGCCTCCTTCCGCGGCTGCATCGGAGAGGTGAGACCCCCTTGTGTCCCCTCGGGGGGCAGGTGACCCCCTCAGGTGGGGAGGGGATTCCCCCATACTGGGGACACGATCCCCTTGGTGGGGAGGAGGTGACCCCCACTGATGTCCCCTTGTTGGGGGGATGACCCCTCTTGGTGTCCCTTGGGGAAGATGACCCTGTTGGCGGTGTCCCCTTGGTTGGGAGGTGACCCCGTTGTTGGGGAGGTGACTTCCCTTCCCATCCCCTTGTTGCAGTTCCCTCACCGGGTTGGTGACGCCTCTCCTTGGTGTCCCCTTGGTTGGAAGTGACCCCCGTGGCTGGGGCGTGGTGCCATTGGTGTCCCCTTGTTGATGTCCCCTTGTTGATGTCCCCTCGTTGATGTCCCCTCGTTGATGTCCCCTCGTTGATGTCCCCTCGTTGATGTCCCCTCGTTGATGTCCCCTCGTTGATGTCCCCGAGTTCCCTCACTGGGCTGGGGCATGGTGCCATTGGTGTCCCCTTGCTGATGTCCCCTTGTTGATGTCCCCTCACTGGAGGGGTGCCCCTCACCCCCCGGCCCCGCTGGTGTCCCGGCCGGGCGGTGTCCCCGGCGGCAGGGCGGTGACGGTGGCGGTGTCCCCGCGGTGTCCCCGCAGGTGTCCATCAGCGGGAAGCGCCTGGAGCTGCGGGAGCGGTTCCTGCGCAGCCGGGGGGTGCGGCCGTGCGGCCACCGCGCCCCGTGCCGGCCGGGGAGCCGCGGTGAGCGCGGGGACGGGGCTGGGCTGGGGGCGTTTGCACGCGTGTGTGCTGCGTGTGCATTACTGCATGTGTGTGTGAGCTGTGTGTGCATTACTGCATGTGTGTGCTGCATGTGTGTGTATGCATGTGTGCCGTGCATGTGTGCAGTGCGTGTGCATTACTCTGTGTGTGTGTGTGCTGTGTGTGCTGCGTGTGTGCACTGTGTGTGTGTGCTGCACGTGTGTGTGTGCGCGTGTGCATTACTGCACGTGTATGTTGCACATGTGTGTATGTGTGTGTGCGTTATTGCATGTGTTTACTCTGTGCTGTGTGTGTGTACGCAGTATGTACTGCACACGTGCATTACTGCATGTGTGTGTGCCCTGCGTGTGCATTACTGCATGTGTGTGTGAGCTGTGTGTGCATTACTGCATGTGTGTGTATGCATGTGTGCAGTGCATGTGTGCAGTGCGTGTGCATTACTCTGTGTGTGTGTGCTGTGTGTGCTGCGTGTGTGCACTGTGTGTGTGTGCTGCACGTGTGTGTGTGCGTGTGCATTGCTGCACGTGTATGTTGCACATGTGTATGTGTGTGTGCATTACTGCATGTGTGTGCTGCATGTGTGCCGTGCATGTGTGCAGCGCGTGTGCATTACTCTGTGTGTGTGTGTGCTGTGTGTGCTGCGTGTGTGCACTGTGTGTGTGTGCTGCACGTGTGTGTGTGCGTGTGCATTGCTGCATGTGTATGTTGCACATGTGTGTATGTGTGTGTGCGTTACTGCATGTGTGTGCCTCACACACGTGTACTGCGTGTGTGTGTGTGTGTGCAGCGCGTTTGTGCTGCGTGTGCATTTGTATGTGTGCACTGCACCTGTGTGTGTGCATTGTGTATGCATTTTGTGTGGGTTTGCGTGCGCAAACACAGCTCACACCTGCTCACACCTGCTCACTGCACACTCCTGTGCATTTGCACACACACAGTCCACACTGCTCACTGCACACACCTGTGCACTTGCACACACACAGTTCACACCTGCTCACTGCACACTCCCGTGCCCGGCGTGCCCCGCGGGCCGTGCACACTGACCCAGCCCCGCAGTGACCGTGTCCCGCTGTCCCCAGGCCCGCGCTGCGAGGAGGAGGAGGAGGAGGCCGAAGGCTGTCACCCCTCCCGGCCCTGCCTGCACGGTGGCTCCTGTGTCCATGGCTCCTGCCGCTGCCCCCCGGGACACAGCGGGGCCCGCTGCCAGCACCGTGAGGGGACAGCGGGGGGACACCCTGGGGACACCCGGGGACACAGGGAGCGTGCAGGGACACTGCCAGCACGGCGAGGGGGAACACACGGAGGGGCAGGGGGACACACACTGGGGACTCTGGAAGACACAGAGGGACATGGGGCTGACAGAGGAAAGACACAGGGACACCCAGGGACACACACACACTTGGGGATACTTGGAAATACCTGGAGACACTTGGAGAAGGTTTGGGACTTCTGGGGAAACTTGGGAACATGAGGAGGCATTGGGGACGTGGAGGAGGTCACACAGGGACACCTGGGGATGTGAGGGGGACACACATGGGGACACGTGACAACATTTGGAGGCACAAGGGGACATGGGGGGGGACACCTGAGGACACCTGGAGACCACTGGGGACACAGAAGGACACCTGGGGACATGGCAGGGACACGTGCTTGGGGGAATACCTGGGAATAAATGAAGCCACTTGGGGACATGGGGGACACCTGGGGACACTGTTGAGGATATACACTTGGGGGATACTTGGGGATACCTGGGGCAACTGGAGACACGTGGGGACGTGGTGGGGGGACACTTGGGGACACCAAGGGGATACATGTCCCCCCTTTACCCCTCTTCTCCCGCAGGCTCGGCACTGGCAGAGCTGGAGCAGGACTGGCAGGAGGGCAGCGGGGGCGGCGGTGGGTCCCTGCACCCATTTCCCCTTTTTCCCCCCAAAATGCAGCTGGGGCCCCCTCCTGCCATCCCCCCTGACCCCCCATCTCCCCCCAGACGCCCCTGGGCAGTTCAGCGCCGCATTCCAGGACGGATCCTACCTGGCCCTTCCCGGGCACCTCTTCCCTCGTGGGTGAGTGACACGGGACACCCCGAGCGGGTACTGCACCCCCCTCCCATGGCACTCCCCATTTTTGGGGTGCTGCGCTCCCCCCCACGGCATCACCCCCTTTTTGGGTGCTGCCCCCCATCACTCTCCTCCCCTGGCAGCCCCCCCGAGGCTCCCGAGACCATCGAGCTGGAGCTGCGGACGCGCAGCGCCCAGGGGCTGCTGCTGTGGCACGGCGCGGTGAGACAGGGCACAGGGCACAGGGGACGGGGGGCACGGGCTCTGGGACCCCTGGGCTGGGGGTCCGGGTGCCCTCTGCTCACCCCCCGCTGCGCCCGCAGGAGCCCAGCGAGGGTGGCAAAGCCAAAGATTTCCTCGGCCTCGGGTTGAAGGACGGGCACCTGGTGTTCAGGTGAGGGGGGACCGCGGTGTGACGTGTGGCACTGGGGTCCCCTGAGCCCACGGGGTGCCCCCGAGGTGCCCTGCACTGACACCTGCCCCCCACAGCTACCAGCTGGGCAGTGGCGAGGCCACCATCACCTCCGAAGACCCCGTCAATGACGGCGAGTGGCACCGGGTGACAGTGACAAGGTGGGCAGGGGTCTGGGGGTGGCACGGGGTGGGCAGGGCGGGCGCGGGTGCTGACGGTGCCCCGCAGGCAGGGCCGGCGTGGGCAGCTCCAGGTGGATGGAGAGGAGCCGGTGAGTGGGGAATCACCCGGATCCAACGTCATGGCCAACACTGAGGGCAGCGTCTACGTGGGTACGTGGGACTGGGGACACGGGGGACACGGGGCGGGACACAAATGGACACAGGGTGAGTGTGGGATGGACGTGGAATGGACATGGGGTGGATGCAGGATGGACGGGGTGAGGCATGGGGTGGCACAGGGGATGGACATGGGGAGGGACAAGGGATGGACATGGGGAGGGACATGGATGTGGGGTGGGATATGGCATGGACACAGAATGGGACACGGGATGGACATGGGGAGGATGGATGGGGTGAGGCATGGGGTGGCACAGGGGATGGACATGGGGTGGGACAGGGGATGGACATGGGGAGGGACACAGGATGGACATGGGGTGGGACAGGGGCTGGACATGGAGTGGGACATGGATATGGCATGGACACAGAATGGGACATGGGATGGACACGGGGTGGAACACGGGATGGACATGGGGTGGGACAGGGGATGGACATGGGGTGGAACACGGGATGGACATGGGGAGGGACACGGGATGGATGTGGAGTGGGACACAGATATGGCATGGACACAGAATGGGACAGGGGATGGGCATGGGGTGGGACACGGGGTGGGCATGGAATGGCATTTGGGATAAGACACCAGCTGGAACATGAGATGGGATATGGGATGTACACATGATGGGACACGGGATGGACACAGGATGGACACGGGGTTCACAGGGTGGGCATGGAATGACGTTTGGGATAAAACACCAGCTGGAACATGAGATGGGATATGGGATGTACACATGATGGGACACGGGATGGACATGGGATGGGCATGGGATGACACTTGGGATAAGACACCAGCTGGAACATGAGATGGGATATGGGATGTACACATGATGGGACACGGGATGGACACAGGATGGACACGGGGTGGGACACGGGATGACACTTGGGATAAGACATCAGCTGGAACATGAGATGGGATACGGGTTGGACATGGGGTGGGACATGGGCTGGAATAGAGGATGGCATGGGATGGACACAGGACGGGACCCCTGGGTGCTGGGACACGGGCTGGGGACCCCTGACGGGACACGAGAGAGGCGTGGGCGGGTGTCGGGGCCGGGGGGGCCCCGCGGTGCCCCCGCCCAGCGGCTCCTGTGTCCCGCAGGCGGAGCCCCCGACCCCCGCGCCCTGACCGGCGGCAAGTTCAGCTCCGGCCTCTCGGGCTGCGTGCGGGGGCTGGCGCTGGAGTCCGCCGGCATCCCCCGACACCCCATCGACCTCCGGCACGGCGCCCTGGGGGGCTCCCCCGTGCCCCCCTGCCCCTCCTAACCCCCCCGAAGCAGAGGCTGGGGGGAATTTGGCCGAGTTTATTCTTTTCCAAAAAAAACCCAACAACACCAGGAGGAAACGGTGCTTCGCTGCCCCGGGGTGACTCTGGGGGGGGGCCGGGACCCCCAAAAATGTTTACACCCCCCTTCCACCGGCCCCCCGAAACTGTGCCGGGGCGGCCGGGCCGCCTGGGTGCCCCCCGGGGTGGCGGCGGGGTGGGGGCGCGAGGGACAATCGGGGACAGCCATTAAAGGAGAGACAACCCGTGCGGCTGCCGTGCTTGGGGGGCTGCGCCGGGGCTCTGGGGGTACGGCAGCCAGGGGGTGTCTGGGGGGGCTCTGGGCGGTGGCACAGGGGTGCAGAGCTGGGGGGCTCTGGGGCGGCTCTGGGGCGGATGGCGGGGGGACCCAGCGCGGACCCGCGCCACAGGCCCCGCCCACCGGACAACAGACCCCGCCCATCGGGACACAGACTCCGCCCATCGGGGCACAGGCCCCGCCCACCGGGACTCAGGTCCCGCCCACTCCGTATCAGTCGCGCCCATAGCAAGCGAGCCCCGCCCCCATGCGCACAGGCCACACCCCCTCCGGGTGGTCGTACAAGCCCCGCCCCCTACGGGTCAAGCCCCGCCCCTGGCGGACACGAGCCCGTACCTGGCGCGCCCAAGCCACGCCCCTGTGGCGGAAGCCCCGCCTCCAGCCCCGCGCGTCGCGCCCGCCAACGTCAGCGCCTCGCGCCGTCACCGCGTCGCGCTCGTGGCGTCAGCGGGCCTGAGGGCGGCGGGAGGGGCCGGGCGGGACCGGGACCGGAGCGGGCCGGAGCGGGCA